AATAGGTATATCTTATAGATGTAACAATTTATTTATAAATCGCAATTACTCGAAAATGATAGGTAGGTATACCTACATCTGATCGTTACGGATCAAAAACAAGCTGTCAATTGTTTTCAAAAAGGGGTGTAACACAAAATTCTAAAAATTTATATTTCGAACAGAGATAGTTATCAAGAATCAAAATACGTTCTCGAAGCCTACAATAGACTAAAACTATATATAATGGTCCACCAAAATATAACTTGTTGGTTTTGGAATAGTGCTCGAATTTTTTTTCCGAAAAATGAATTTTTTGACCGTGCCTCGTATGCACCCTGATTTACTATAATTTATGTGATCGTAACTAGACATGTATTTGAGTTCTGATCAATACATTTTCTAGCTTATTTTGTCTCATTTATACTAATAAATAGTTATTTATTATACAAGGGAAAAAAGTAGTAGATTTTAGCTCCAGGTTGTGTTGTCTCCCGACGCGTAGCGGAGGGAGACAAAAAACCGTGAGCTAAATATTTTTCCCGTGTATAATACACTATTTTTTTCTGTGACAGAAGAAAGGACAAATCAATATTGAGAAGATATTACATTATTTTGAAATCTGAAAATTATCGACGTGAAATTTTAAGTTTTTAACAGTAGGGACACCGCGTTGTAGGCATCTTTAACATTCATTTGAAGTAATCAAATATCTGATGTCACTTCTGTCAGTCTAATTTTGTGATTTTATTTCAAGAAATTGCGAATTCAGTGGTTATTTAGCAATATACGTAACCGCGAAGTCGAATGGAAGATAAAAGGACTTGCAGTTCTTTCTGGGGGACGGTATTATTGACTCATCTCTCGGAACTATAGCACAACAAAAGCCATCAACAGTGCATATATATGTGATATATATCCGGGAAAAAAGTACTCACTTTTTTCCCACGGGAAAAAAGTAATTTATGAAAAGTGACATTTTATAACCTGCCAACAGGGATGAAATGCCAAACTTTTTTCCCGTCACAGAAAAAAACAGTTTTTTTCTTTGTCAATCCTAACTAACCCCCTTATATACGACGTTTTTATGAACTTTGTCGGCTTATATCTCAGAAACTAAACATACAGAACTTTTTAAACTCACATATTTTTCTAATGAGCCATCCCACAACAACATAGTAAAATTTCAGCCAATTTCCCGTGTTTTCGTGCGGGGTCCTTTCATCACAATGTTGCCAGTAGTATCCACATACCTACATATAATCGTAAAAAATGTGTGAAAAAAATATTTTTTCTACACCTTGTATCTTGAAAACGAATGCCGTTACGACATTTTTTCACTGAGCAAACCCACCTTATTTTGCAATGTTCTACCTATATATACCCTATAGCAAGGGGGTTAGGTTTTTTTGAAACACCCTGTATATCTTTTCTCTGTAAAGAGGTGTGGATTTTTATAATCTGATGAGATCAAATTGTCACATAATATATGCATATCTACAAAATTTTTTGAGCAATAATTAATGTACCTAGTCCCATCACCCTGTAAGTATTATACACTCCTGAGTGAAATTTTGAAATGATTTTATGTTCACTGCATTGGGCTTGGAAAGTTTAGTTCTTGTACCAAATTGCATCTTTTTATCACATGGAGTTTCGGAAATACTCAAGAAATATCATCTTCAGGAGCCCCCCCCTCAGGAGGCCGTAGTTCCCTTATCGGAAACATTTCTCGTACTCTTTTTCGTACTTTTGATCGTAGAAGCCGCAGGTGAAGTTTGGCAGGCTAATTTCGGGACACCCTGTATACCTACCACCTCTCGCTGACAATAAATATGTTCAAGAGTTCAAAAAACATTCTTGAAAATGAATTCTCGACAATGAAAAAAACAAATGAATGCTAATCTCTCGATCCCCCATTAAGACCTGATCACAGTCTAATTAAAAATAATTTGTAGCCCTTGAGAGGCAAACAATTATTTGATTCCTAATTAAATGAGTTAAACGTGAAACGTATAATTAAAGAAAATTCTTGAATGACAGAGGAGACGTACCGTAAGAAGACAAATTAAAAAGTTCTTAATTGAACATTCTTTCTGTTCTGTGCGAGAAGTTAAGGAGGGTGTTGCAGTAGCAGGAAAGCTGGAAAATACTGGGGAATTAAACTCAATTAATCACTTGGAAAATCCGCAGTTTGTTCACGCTTCCTTCCAAATTGACCCTTCACGCGCCGCACCGGTTGTAAAACTCTTGGGAGCTGAAAAGTTCAACGAAAACGATAAAAAAGTAAGAATAAAAAATGTGGAAATGGGAAAAGAATGGAAAAGAGAACGCTTGAATATATTGGTATGTATAAACGTATATATGTATAACTGTGTGACAGAAATCACTGATTTAATTATCATTCGAGATTCTATACGATTATTCGTATTTTTAAATTGCATGATTCAATATTCTTGACAGAGATATCTATACAGGGTGTTCCTTATAATGATATATGCTGATATTTCAAGGGACCGATTCTTCGACCCATTTCAAGAATAAAACTCCATATGAACGTATATGTCGTAAACATCCTAACTTTTGAGATACAGGGTGTCAATGTTGAAAATATGCATAGATTGTTTTTTTGGCAACCCTGTATAGCTTTCCGTGATGGCAAAATTCAGTCTGCTATATGTGTCTAAATCGGTATACAAATTTCAAATTGTTACATACTGTGGTTATCCAGTAATGGATGTCCTGAATGGAGTGATTGATTGATTGATTAATAGCAGAATGATCAGTCAGGGTTCGAAGCCCAAAACACTGCAGCCTTTGGGCCTATTGTATTTCTGATCATGCTGTTGACTTAGGTGAACAGGTTCGCTACCTTGATGAGGTTTAGCAGCCTCTTCACCAAATCATTCTTTGAAAATGCCTCTTGAGAGTTTACTGCTCCCAGAAGGTTGTATCTCCAACGCGCTAGTGCTTCGCACTCCAATATTATACATGGGTGGCAGTTTCCTCCTCCTCATTGCATAGTCTGCATATGGGTTCGTCTGTATAGATGCCCATTTGATGCATTTGTTTCCTCAAGGGGCAGTGACCGGTTATTAGTCCCGTCACTTGTTTGATCTGACTTCTGTTTAGGCCCAGAATGTCGTTAGTCACTGTTTTGGACAGTGTTCCAACCATCAGTTTACTGTGTATTTGTCCTGGGACATTGTTCCAGTATGCCTGATGTATTTTCTTGCATCCACCTTGCCAGCCAGCCGCGTATTGAGGTTTTGGAGATACCGAACACAGGTTCCGGTCCCATAAACAACGTCGCAAATCCTTGCCTGGCAAGAACGTCAGCTGCTTCATTGCCTTCAATTCCCTTATGCCCTGGCACCCATTGAAGAGTTACCTTGTGGTTAGCTAGGGTTAGCAGGCGTTGAAGGCAATCCCAGACCAGTTTTGATCTGATTTTATTGCATATGTTAAAGATTGAATGGCCGCCTGAATATCTGAGCATATGAGGATTTGTTTACCTCTGTATCCTCTTACAATATTCTCTCTCAGGCATGCCTCAATAGCATGCACCTCTGCCTGGAATACTGAAGCATACCTCCCCAAGGAAGCACACATCCTGGTTCTGGGTCTATCTCCATATATTCCGGCCTGAATGGAGTACTCCAGACATCAAAATTTGAAGTCTGGTCTCGTTTTTCCGTTTTTTCTCGAAAATGAAGCGTTCTATCGAGTATCAACAGGAGTATCATTTTTGTACATAATTAGATAGCCTTTTATGACATTGTATAAAATCTGAACATTTTTTGTCGTTGCTCACTTTTGAGTGAAATATAAACAATAATATTTCCGTAACGGTAGCACTGGTAGAGAAAATGAACATTAGAAAATGCACCTTGATGCATAAAAGACGTGTACCAAATTTCATGAAGATGTATACAATATTGCCTCAGTTATTATCAAGAAACTGAGTATTTTTCAAAACTTCATCACCCTGTATTTCAAACAATTTGGGATTTTGTTAATTATTTTATTCTATTTTCTATTCTACTATGTATTCTATCAGCATAACATCAACAAAAATCTCAAGAACGTCAAGAAACGTGGGATCGTTTTCCTTGGATCCGAGTTGGAACCAGAAAGAATTTCATAATTTTGTTTGGTGAAACGTGAAACTGTTATTATATTGTGGGTGTGGCAGGGATGGCCAGGGCTATACTCATCAAAGGTTACCTAACAGATAGTTTGTGTGCCCCTCAAGAAACCATGTCAAAATCGTGTGTTCTAGAATGGTCAATATGAGGTCAATAGATCAAAGGAAGCGACAAGAGTTGGTGAGCTCTGTGTATGAAAAGCGGGATTTTGAAGTTCTTTTAGCTCTTATTGGGATCTAGAAAATATGAATTGGGGGGTTTTTGGGGAAGCTGAATCTGAGTCTTATAGATACAATTCTAAAATAAGCCCTAATATCTTTTTCCCAAATAAAGGCCTTTTTTGTACCCCTCAACATCGCACGCCAATGTCAAATGAAAATGTTCACTATGCCAAATATTTCATTGTTCTAACATACAATCACGACCAAAATTTCATTTCATTCATAACTGAGATATTATTCGTGAAAAGAGGGGCACACTGTATCAACACACCATTATGACTATTATTATATTCAATCAAGACCCCATATTGTATTATTAGTTGCCTAAGCAGAACTGATGATTATTTGTACATTTATGAAGGTCAGTTCTACCAACCTTGTTATTTGTCTATCAATATGCCATCTATTGGAACATCATTGAATCTTTAATCAAGAAGAAGAAGAGAAATTCGTCACATTGGCTCAAAGACCTCAAAAATGCTAAATTGCTCACAAGAATAAAATAATAAGATGAATGTCACTGGAGTCAGTGGAGTCACAGTACACAGTAAAAAAAAGCAAGATGCCAAGTAGTTGAAAGATGAAATCTGTCCAACTCTGGCAGAGGCCGAGAAAACTAGAAGAAGTGTAATAAGAGAAAAAAATAAAGGAAGTAGAGTTGAAGTAGAGTTATGTTTATTTTGTTTGACGTTTTCAACCTCAAATTCGGAAGTCCAAATGAAAACTTTGGAAAACGATATATCTGAATTTTTGATGCATTTTCGGAAACTTCCAAAACATTAGCAGAGTGAAAAATACATTTGATAATTAATGAATTTAGGAGTGGACGTGGAAGCTGGTTGAATATTCTGCACAATGAAATTGGTAAGTGAACAGTTTACCTACAGAATACCCTTGATTATCAAGACCTAATGGTGCTTCAATTGATGTAGTTTCTTACCCTAGTACTGTTTGAGCAACGATCCTAATAAACCATGCCACATTCTAACGTTCCGAGAAATAACAATGATGCTAGACTGTGGTCTATCCATGCAGTCACTGTTGAACTTCCTACCTTTATCATTTGTACCTTCAAACAAGCTGATGAATTTGCCAAATTGGATGCCTAGTGATACAACAGATCCTGATTTAGAAGGAGTAAGTATAATAGATTTGATTCAATCACATTTCAATTATCAATTAACATATTTCAGGAACTGAAAGAAAATGGTGACAGGGTTTTTGTAGATTCCCCCCCAGAATTTTGTCCACCATTGGATAAACTCATTGACTTCTCAAGAGTAGATGTTATTCTTATTTCCAACTACTTATGCATGATGGCTTTGCCATTCATCACTGAAGGTACTGGTTTCAAAGGGAGAGTATATGCAACAGAACCTACATTGCAAATTGGGCGGTAAGAAATGTCTACCATTCTAGCATTTCAGTGTGAATAATACACTTATTTAACAAAGGGAGAGGAAACAGTAACAAAGATAGATGATTGTAATGTCCATTCACAATCTTAATAATAAGGAACTCACATAATTTTTAGATTTTTCCTTATTACATTTGAGATTACATTATGACCTTGTTATCCTAAAAATATTGAATATTTTCTATTGAACTTTGAAAAATGAATTTGAGTGAGAGCAAATTGGAGGCCACATCCTGGCTCACTCAAGGCTACACACCCTACATAATTCCTCCAATCATTCATTGAAAAGAATGCTCAAGAGTTGACTACAATGACCAGATCAAAATTCCTTCAATAAGTCATGAAATTCATACTTGTCCCAGATTGTTTTCATAAGCATAAGACTGGAGCATATGACTATTGATTAGAGAGTTATTCATGGTGGTGCACCTTCTGGTGTCACTTTTAGTGGGGAATTATCAGCTATTGAACTTTAAAAAATGAATTCGAATGAGAGCAAATTGGAGGTCATTATATTAGGCCACATACTGGCTATTATTATTATTATTATTAGGGCTAACCACCCTACATAATTCCTCCAATCATTCATTGAAAAAATGCTCAAGAGTTGACTACAATGACTGGATGAAAATTCCTTTGATAAATCATGAAATTCATACTTGTCCCAGATTGTTTTCATAAGACTGCCCATAAAAGACTATTGATAAAAGAGTTATTCATGGTGGTGCACCTTCTGGCATCACTTTTATTTGGGGAATATCAGTAATTTTATCATCACAATTGAACCACTTCAATTCAAAGCAACCAAAATCTATAAACTGTATAAAATGTAATTTTATATAGATCATGAGTATTATGAACTTTATATTGGTCAGATTTGAATATGCCTAAGATCATTTATACACTAATGATGTGCCATATGTTGATAGTCAAGTCAGTGAAAAGGAAATTGATTATATCTTGAGACAAATATCAGGTAGGTATTATGTACACTGGAAAGAATGGATGTTAACAGAGTGGCTCAACAATTTGAAATAATAAGTACTTCTTTTTTCCTCACTCATCTCCCTAATAATGACTTTCCACCTTAGTGAACATCAAATCATCACATACAAGCTGCATGTATCATCTATAATAATCACACCATTTTTTATTCATGTTAGCAAACCAAAAAACAAGGATCAATGGTATCTTCATGGTATGACTTGACATAAATACAATATTTGGTATTTACTGTTTCAGGTTACTCCTTGAAGAACTAGTTGTCTATATTGAACAATGTCCAAAATCTAGTTTTGCTTCTCAGTGGAAAAACTTTGTTCACAAATGTCCTTATCCTTTGAATGAATCTTTCAAACCAAAATCTTGGAGGCAAATTTACAATATGAAAGATGTTAATGCTAGTTTGTCCAGAATACAAATGGTGGGATATAATGAAAAAATTGTAGGTTTTCAAGGAGATGTCCATGTCCTATTGAAATATTTTTCACAAGTAACTATTCTAGGATGTGTATGGAGCTCTTCAAGTAATTCCAGCAAGTTCTGGACTTTGTCTGGGGTCAGCAAATTGGGTTATAAGTACAGAACATGAAAAGGTAGTATATCTGAGTGGATCCAGCACCCTAACCACACATCCTAGGCCTATGGATCACCAATCTCTCAAAAATGCAGATGTCCTTATAATGACAGACCTCACGCAAACACCAATAAGCAATCCTGACTCCATGTTGGGGGTTTTGTGTGTAGTTGTAGGTGAATTAGTAGAAGATTTTTATGTTTATCAATTTTTGATGAGTTTTCTTTTCTAGGTTTAACACTGCGAGGAGGTGGCAATGTACTTATACCTTGCTATCCAACAGGAGTAGTTTATGATCTCTTTGAGTGTTTATCGGGAAAAATGGCGGAGTTGGGAGTATCCAATTGTCCAATGTTTTTTGTGTCACCTGTTGCTGATATTTCACTAGCTTATTCCAATATTTTAGCTGAATGGTTGTCATCTGTTAAACAAAACAAAGTTTATGTTCCTGATGAACCTTTTCCACATGCTATGCTAGTGAAAAATAATAAACTAAAGCATTTCAAGCATATTTATTCAGATGGATTTAGTACGGATTTTCAAGAGGTATTTTGACAACAATTGTGAAGATTGAAAAAATGTGTTTCATGTTTTTTTAGCCTTGTGTAGTTTTCTGTGGTCATCCTAGTTTGAGATATGGAGATGTTGTTCAGTTTATAGAGTTATGGGGTAACAATCCAAGAAACTGTATTGTATTCACTGGTAACTAATTTTTTTCTTATAAAAGGTCAATACATTTATACTCTAATAATTTCAGAGCCTGATTTTGACTATATAGAAGCCCTAGCTCCATATCAGCCACTTCAAATAAAGGTGGCACACTGTGCCATAGATACCTCATTGAATTTCACTCAGGCTAACAAGCTCATCAAAGATTTGAAACCTAAAACACTTGTGGTACCAGAGTGTTATACTCAGCCTCCAGTGTCAGCACCTAATTTGACGGAATTGGTCATTGGTACTCATGCTGAAAGTTCTGTCATTCCTTACAAATGGGGAGAGGTAAGGACATACAGTATTTTTCCTTTGGAGAGTATAGAAAAATGTACATATGTACATACAAATGTAAATATTAGTGTTCACATATAGAATGGCTTCATGTGCTCATAGTATTTTGGGGAACTCTCCCACTCATGTATATATGTTGCAAATATCTTGGTTTGTCTGTACCATATTGGATTTTACTCTGTACATTTTCATCCTATATTGAATAATGAATATACACGGAAGCTCATCCTATATTGAATAATGAATATACACGGAAGCGTCTGGGTTTTTCCTTATAGGTTTTTTCCACCTCCTTAGAAAATGCCAACTATATATCTTCAACATTGATCTTTGAAGACCATCTGGCTAGGATGTTAATAGCATAACAACATATACGCAAAAATATAAAAAAATATAGTATAGTTTTTTCATATTGAGCATTGATGCGAATGTTTTGATGTATTCACAATATCTTATAGGTCATCAATTTACCGCTCAAACGGAAACAGGGACAAGTGTACTTTGAACCAAATGTTGCACAGAAAATCATTCCAGTGGAAGTGAAGCCTGGTATAAGTTTATCCACTGTAACCGGTACACTCAATGTAAAGGACAATGTGCATAATATTCAGGTTGGTTAAATTCTTTGATCCATTATATTTTAGTTATCTGGATAGCCCATTTTACATTTTGACCATATATTATTTTTCAAAGATCGATTTTACTTAGTTCGGGCAGAGAATCAGCTGTCAAATGTGCAACTAGATCAAAACTATGATTGGAAATTGGTACGTCATAGCATCACTGCATGGAGAGTCGATCAGGTTTAGAGCAGCAAAAGGTTGTCCATAGGGTGGGGTATTTTCCGATCTTATGTGATCGTTCCTAGTTGACTCTCTGCTGAACGAGCTCTCCATGCAGTGGGTGGATTTCCAATGCTATGCAAATGATTTAGTCCTAATATTGAGACGAAAATTTGAAGCGATGATCTCAATCGGCCTACAAGATGTCCTCAATCTTTTGTACATATTATATATGGTGCGAGAGGGAGCAGATGCCTGTGAACCCCCGGAAAACTGTAATTGTCCCTTTTACCAAAAGGCTAAAGCTAGATAAGTTCAGGCGGAGGTCTTAGCAACTGAATTGTGTGCTAGAGAGTTGATCAATAGACCTCTAGTGAACAAAAACATCAGTATATTGTATCAGAGGAGGACAACGAGCAAGCCGACATCCTCGCCAAACACGGAACCGAATCTGAGTTCATATGACCAGAACCATACTTTGCGGCCAAAACAACTATCTCGGACTGGGCGGTGGGGAAAAGACTCACATACTGGTCTGAATTACCAGGATCAACCCATTCGAAGGAGTTCCTGCCTAAACCAACGAGAGAAAAAAACAGGCAGATCCTAGAATGGAGCAGGGGTAACCTGCGAATTCTGACAGGACTGCTTACGGGACACTGTCGTCTAAGACACCACCTAGGAAGGATGGGTGTGAACCAAAGTGTGTGAACCAACAAGCGAACTATGTGGAAGATGAAACAGCCGAACCCATACTATGTTCATGCTCTTGCTTAGAGAGACTAAGGTCTTAAATATTTGGCGTCAACCAATTTAGAACCTATCGATTTTAGACAAATCTCACCTCATCCAACCATGGACTTTGTAAAAAAAAGTGGATTGTACAGTGAAGTGTAACCTATAGGAGTGAGCAATAGACCCATCTGGGGTCGCAATGGAGGGGTGGCATTCGCCCCACTAACATGGAAGCTAGGTTCTAGTGGACTGGTAGTGAATATGGGCATTCAATCACTTCACTGTATCGTTAGGGACCTGAATTAATTTTTGCAACACTTCTTACGCATTTTTTGATGAATATTATGTGTCTATATGAGTTGTTGGAAGTTGTTGACCTTCAGAGCTCATTTCAAAAGTGCCACCATGGCAGCCATTTGGCAATGTTCTTCTATACGTCGGATATTATGATGTCAGTTCTTATGCTTCCATTCCCACTCATGAAGCAAGGTTGTCAAGTCACCAATTATTATCAAGCTATTTAAAGTTGTTATAGAGCTCTGTTGTTGAATAAAACTATATCCAAATTGAACATTACATATGACCTAACAGGAGGAAGCCATGATATTATAGTTATTAATTTGTGACATTTTCGAGCAACCAGCTTGTCAAAATATTTCTTATACCTCATAACAAAACATCATGTGAATGTTGGCTATGCTAGGGTCCCTTGATGTACATTGACTAGTGATTTTGGTTTTGTGTACGCATCCATAGGCGTTAAAAGAAATCTTACAAAATTTTAATTAGTACTCAATCTTAATATGACATTATTCAATTCTGTTTTGGAAGGATGGTAAGATGTGCTGCAATCAGTTGGTTGGCAAATTTGAAATTGTCAGCTTTCCAACAAATGCAAATGAACTTAGAACATGGAAAGTGAAGAGACCCAATTTGGAAAATCGGTGAATACATCAGCATATACACAATATGCGAGTTAGGACTAAGAAATAACATATTATACTTTCTCATTGTGCCTAATTATCCACATAACAAGTTTTTGTATGCATTTTAGTAGAAAGGGTATCAGTTGAACGGAGGATTAAAAGAAGAGGCATATGCCCTACCATTTTAAAAATCATACCTACATTCAGAAAATATAAATGTTCAAAACAAAACTGCAAAAATGAACCCAACATGAATATATAAATATGCGGCACACATGACATATGAGGACATTAGGTTGAATACTTACATCAGAGTTCTCACCATTAGAAGAGTCCCATTTGGTAAAACATATTCAACTTCCAGAAAAATGTATGCTCACTGCCTCACAGAAACTATACTGGAGTTGGAAAATCAAAAACTCAAAAATTATTGATCATTTGGATATATGTAGAGTTGAATCAGGAATGCCATGTGGAAATTACGTATGATACGCCAATGTCCTCAATATAACCTAAAAAACAACAAATGTCAGAAATCTAGTGTTTATATCCCCAGAATTGAATAAAGATGGAACTATATAACTGTTTCACAAACACTTCAGAGTGAGAGGAGACGAGGATCTGTCCGTACCCTGTTAAGATGACAAATACGTCAATTTACATCAAGGGACCCTAGGCTATGCTAGAAACTTGGCAATGCTGTGCTAAACGCTGAGAACTGACAAGGCAACGCCCATAATCCTGTGTTGTCACGATTACCGGACCAAAAATCTTCTCTTGTGGGAATTAATATAATTATTAATAACAGAAATTCCTCATATGCAATGAGACAAAACATAAAAGAGAGAAAATTACACGGCAATGGTTCTTAATAGCTAAATTAGAATATTACCAATACGTAATTGGAGAATTCATGAATTATTGAATAAATGTCTGAAGTTTCCATCCCTATTTCAACACATGGAAACTGTGCTATGGTTTTATTTGTGATAAATTTTGCGGCAACATTTTGCTCTGTGACGCATAGACTGATTTATGCATCGGATATAGTGTAGTTTTCCACCATGAGTAATCTTTTTTTTTTTGTTATATAGGACTTCTCCTCGGAATCCAAGACTGACAAATTAGTGAAGTATGAGTGGGGCACATTAAATATAACTGAATTCATGCAAAAGTTATCTCAAGAGGGTGTCACAGATGGAAAAGTTGAATCTTTAGGAGGAGTTGTGGTTATCCATCTGGTACATACTTACCACCAAGTATTTTTGTTCCTTTTTGACTTATAATTTTTATTATTTTCAGCAAGATGAAGATGCTCTCATTCAACTAGAAGACAACAGTACTCATGTTGTTTGTAATGCTGATGAGAATTTAAGGACTAAAATAAGAAACATTGTGATGCAGTGTTTAAAAAAGTTTTAATATTTATTTTTCAAATAACTTTTTTTTTGAATATGTGAGTTGAAGTGTTCTGTTAAACCCCAAACTTCTGATTGATATAAAACATTTATGTTATGGTGTTAATGCAGATAATGTTCTATTTCTCTGCATAATTGATGGATTCATTAATTTTGTTCCTGAATCACTGAGGACTTCAATTAAATAAAGAAAAATCATTGAAGCAGAATATTCCTTATTTTATATTCATCAATATTATATTATACTTTAGAAAAATCTCATGTAGATGGAATTGAATTTTCATTTGATTTTTCAAAAATTAATGAAATGCATCAGTGACTCTCTCCTTTCTTTCCAGCCACTCTCTTGAAATCCCCCATATTAGTTGTATTAATAGGTGACCCAATGATGACTAAATGATCAATTTGAGTAACTTCTCCCCCTCCTAGATTGTCTTTGATAAAGAACTGGATATTTGTAACATTTTGGAATTTAACATATCTCAAGTTGATTGGATTTCCTTCTATATCCTCTGGAGTCAATCTAAAATGAAAAACACAAACAAATAATAATATGGAACAAATAAAAAATGTAAACTACTCACTCCATATCTTGAACACTGGTGTAACTATCTGCTAGATCAAAATCTAAGGTTCTAGGCTGATTGATAAAAATCCTAATAGTTTTAGGTCCTTTGTCAGCTGGGGCTTTGATCTTCAAACTATGAATCTTCACTGCTTGGTTGAATGTTACAGACACTATCAACTGGAACAAAATAAAAGTATCATTCACTTAACACTGTAATGAAAATTAATTAAGCTCACTGACCTGTTCATCACAATCAGATTGTAAAAATCCACCTCCTGATGTTAAACAATGAGAAAATGGATGATCATCACTTTCATTGAGACATTCACACTGAGCCTTGGTAATGAAGGGAGTCAAATCCATCTGGAAGCAATGAAATATATAACAATATCTTGTGATGTACCAAATGTCCTTCTTACATGACCTGCTACACCTTCACTATCCTCACTCTCTTCTGATTCCCCATAGTATTGTTGAATTTTATTTTCAAGACTTGTAGGATCAGCTCCCTGGATTCGATCTACTTTAATCTATAACATACAGCATGTTTCCAATAGAAATATTTGAAAAACAGATGAAACAACAATTTGGCTTACTTTATTGCGATAAAAGATGAAAGTTGGCATAGCAGATACACCCTGAGTAGCTGCTACTTCTTGACATTGATCAACATCTATTTTCAAGAAGACTGCTCTTGGATACTTGGTAGAGAGTTGCTGAAATACTGGGGCTATCCTTTGACAAGGTCCACACCTGAAGCCAATTGAGAAGTTTTTTTTAATATATTTATATTATGGAGCCCTATGTAACTAACCATGTTGCTGTGAAATCAGCTACTACAAGTCTGGTGGAGGCGTTGGATAATTCTGTTAAGAAGTGTGCTTCGTCTATGATCACTTTAATAGAACCCATTGTGATATTATAACTAGAACGTCTTATTTGTTTCTAGAATTCCAATATTCTAATCTCTAATGTAAACTAGAAAATTGCACACTCACTTCTCACTTATAGTCGAACTGTCACGGTGACAGACTGACAAGTGACACTAGTGAAGTAAGTAGTCTAGTGTCACTGTCAGACAATGACGTCACTCTAGATTTGACCTTTGATCTCAAAGAATATAATGTTTAGTTCCGATCCTGGTGAATCGCTATTGAACTAAAAAATAAAAAAAGAAGACGGTGAAATTGGGTTATTTTTCAATTTTTAGTTGTAATTTTGAAAATGTTCCAAATATCCCATTATTTTACATGTTATAGTAAAATGATTGGCACCCAAAAAATTTCAACTGCTAAAATAATTCTCCAGCCAATAGAAAAAATTCTCACAAAAGAATTGAGAAGACATTTTTCCTCACAAAGTTAGTAATGATTTTCACAGTACCTATTTGTCATGAAACAGGAGCCAAAAAATATTATTACCATTCAAGAAAATGAAATACAAAATACTCATCCTTTCATTAGTTATTGTATGAATATATTGAGTATGTCCAACAAATGAGCTATATATTATGATATATAAACCCATATCACAAAAAGGAACAAATTACTTATATATAGTTTGTTTTACAGATAAAAAACATGCCAATATTCTACAAACACAAAAATTTGTACCATTCATAGAGAGGGTTGAAATGAGAAGAGCAGAAGCAAAGAGAAGTATTATAGTACAAGTTCAATCAGCTCAATCTTCTAAGGAATTGCAATCATACTGTGATTCTATAGGAACTGTTCAGAGCATGTTTCATTATACAAGTGGTGTTGAACCTTTGGTAATATCTGCAATTAATGATGAACCTCTCTATTGTTGAGTGCATGCCAAATTTATGTGATGAGAATGAAAATTGATATTCAGACATTTTGAGAATTCCCTAACCATTCCCCATAAACTTGATAAACCTGGACTCAACCAATTTCTTGTAATTCTCACCAAATATACCCAGACAAATTAACCCATATGTTCCAGAACTGCAAAGCAATAGTGATGCTCACCTATGTTTTAGAAGCATTTGCACTTGCATGTAAGAGTATATGCACTGGTACAACATATTGATGGGCATACTCTTTCTCATAGAAATACTGTTTGGTATGCACTTAACAAATTACATTTCCATTTCTATATTAACAATGATGAATATAATGTTTCATTTTTCTTAGCATTTCATCATTGTTGAATTTGAAAAGGAGTCAGATGTAAAGAATGTTTTGCAAGCCAGTTCTCAGATAGATCACATAGAGGAAACCATGGCAGTTCCAACCCAATCACATTTTCTCTGGTTTAGGGCTTCAAACAGAAAACTAACAAAATTGAAACAAAATAAATCCACCAAATTGCTAGTTCAAAATGGTACAAATATAGTTGGAGAGGATGAAATTAAAGAAATGTTAACCAATTGTGAGACTGTAAGTATGACTAAGTAGTGTATACTTATAATCCAGCTTATAATGAATAACATTCTTTTGATAGGTTTCAGATCAATTGAAAAAATTACACAAGATCACAAAATTGAATGATGTTGGGACCAGATTACGATTTTTAACTGCTGTACAAGTAGAAGATGCTCTTTCTGGTATATTCCCAAATGCCCGTGCCTTTCCTTTTGGATCCAGTGTCAATGGATATGGTAAAATGGGGTGTGACTTGGACCTTGTTCTGAGACTAGTTAATGATAAAGTCAGTGTATTTCAATCAACAAAATGTTCCACACATTCAATAATCTTATTACAGAAAGATAGCAAAGATTCTAGACTGATTTTCCATTGCAAGCCAGTAGTTGGGTCAGAAAGGTTAGTGACACAGAGACATATGGAAACTGTGGGTGACTTGATACATTTGTTCCTTCCTGGCTGTGGACATGTTCGTAGAATACTACAAGCCAGAGTACCTATCATAAAGTATCATCAACAATTAACTGATGTGGAATGTGATCTTTCAATGTCAAATTTGTAAGTTATTGAATATAAATTAGGGTGACTTAGTTCTGAAAATTATTTTCTATTTTCTTAGAACTGGAGTTCACATGTCAGACTTTCTCTACATGATGGGGGAAATAGATGATCGTGTGAGGCCCCTCATTTTTGCAATAAGAAAATGGGCCAGTGCAGTAGGACTCACAAATTTGTCCCCAGGAAGATGGATATCAAATTTTTCTTTAACACTTTTGGTATTGGCATTTCTTCAAAAACCACTTAATTCTCCGCCCATACTACCTTCCCTCAATAAACTAACAAGTCTGGCTGGTAAGCAAAATTAGTATGAATAAGCTATAACTCATTTCAGATTATTCACCAATACAAACAAAAAATACTTATATTTTTTTCTCTAACATTAATTTCAATTCATTTATTGAATTGATTAAACTTCCCTTGAGTAGATATTTTCAGTTACTCAGTTGTGTTTATCATTGCATAAGGTATAATATGTACAGGATGTCCCACTTAAATAGGTCACTCACCCCCCTCCCCTGTTATCCTCATAATTCTCAGCATATTTTGGTCATTCAAACACTTTTCTAGAATAATTTTTCACGAGTTTTTTCTTAATCTGTGCCTACATTTTCTTTATATAAACAAATTACAAGGTGTCTCAGAATTTTTTTTTTCTAAAAGAAGAGAACTATATTTTTTTCCATAATTCCATGAAGCCTGTCAATCTGAATTCAAAAATATATATCATTCATATATCCATCATTGAATGAAATTCAGATAATTTCATTTGAAAAAAACATTGTTTTTTAGCCACTCTTTACTTTGTTGATATGAAGAAAAAGTGATCACAGATTAAGAAGATGTTGAGAATTACCAGGATAAAGAGGGTTGACAGATTTAAGTGGGTCACCCTGTACACAAAATACCCACATTTTGAACAAATATGATTCCAAAACAATATTAGATTTCCTCAGTCTCTAAAGAACAAATCATTGATAGAAGAATTAGCCATCTGTTCTCACCTGCCAAAACATAAGTTTTTATTTCCATATGATAATTTCCTTATTGAATTTCACTATTTTTTGGAATTTCGAATCTACCACTCTTTGTGTGTTGAAGCTATCTTGGGATTCTAAAAAAATAATCAAACACAACATGAGGACACATTTTATTTGAACTTCAGCTTTCAAATTGATTTTATGGAAAAAAGGCATGAGTTTTCTGTTTGTATTATTTTATTGGTGGCTACTTCATAGTGCATTTTATAGTTTGGGATGAAATTGTTGATTTCATTATCACACCCAATAGCTGAGTACATAAGAAAGAAGTTATCAGGCGCCTATGCACATTTGTACATTGTTATCCATCAATGGAACACCCTGTTTTTCATATTCATCTCGAAATCTGTGATTTTTTGTGATCACAAGAATATATGCATACAATTGGAAAAAAAGTTGGGTCTACTTCCAATCAAACAGGTGGTTGAAGAAATTTGTCATTGGGTTCAAGGCAAGGTCAAGGTAAGCACCATCAACGATAATATAACTCTTGTGAATTTCAAATTTGTTTCTCTTCAAATAAAAAAACTACAGGCTGTTACATGTCTCCTGTGTCACCCGGTATATACAGTGTGACCCAATTAAGTCCGGAGCACCCTTATAAAATCTATAGTTTTTAACCGATTTCTTTTTTTTTGTTTCAGCAGAAGGACTATCCGGAGATCTACGTTTACACAAATTCGCAAAATAAAATTTCAATCTAAAGGGCATACTATGTTATTATTTTCATGTTGAAAATTGCGAAATATCATTAGCGATTTTTTTCAAGAAAAATCGACCCCACCACTGAATTCAGCATCCTTTAATTAGGTTGAGCGCAAAATTTCATTGAAAAATTTCAATTGGCAACGAAGTTATAACAATAATTTTTATTGCTCACCATTTTTTATGAATATCTCAGACAAATTATGAAAAGCGACAACATTGTCAACACAAATGTTGGAAATCATTGAGGTTTCTGGTATACATTTGAATCGATAACACAAATTATTATCGAGTTATAATCTCTAGAATGGTACCCTTTTGGAATGATCTACATTTTCAAGTAGATGGCTGCCCAGTGCATCATGCTTGGATTATCAGACAATGGCTGAATGATCAGTTTCCTCGTCGCTGGATTGGTCGAGGAAGTGAATTAATTGAATGGCCACCCAGGTCCCCCGATTCAACCCCTCTTGACTTCTTCTTGTGGGGTTTTCTTGTACAAAAAGTTACCAAGATAAATTCCATTTTAGATGTTATAACTCGATAATAATTTGTGTTATCAATTCAAATGTATACCAAAAATCTCAATGATTTCCAACATTTGTGTTGACAATGTTGCCGCTTCTCAGAATTTGTCTGAAATATTCATTAACAATGGTGAGCAATCAAAATTAATGTTTTTATAACTTTGTTGCCAATTGAAATTTTTCAATGAAATTTTGCGCTCAACCTTATTGAAGGATGCTGAATTCAGTGGTGGGGTCGATTTTTCTTGAAAGAAATCGCTAATGATATTTCGCAATTTTTAACATGGAAAAAATAACATCGTATGCCCTGTAGATTGAAATCTGATTTTGCAAATTTGTGTAAACGTAGATCTCCGGATAGTCCTTCTGCTGAAACAAAAAAAAAAAAGAAATCGGTTAAAAACTATAGATTTTATAAGGGTGCTCCGGTCTTAAGTGGGTCACACTGTATATATTTGAGATCGCAGAAGATCACAGATTTGAATAGGAATATAAAAAACTGCATTTAATTTCCACATATTGTTTCTTCTTGATGAAAAATAATGTGAATATGGGGGGTGAGCCTTTTCCATGGATAACCCTGTACATTATTACTGAGGTGGTTTAAGTGTTTATGCTATTATGATAATGATGAACTATTGTGACCTATAAAGGGATCAAGAGAATGAATTTAATAAGGAGCTAATAATTATTCAATCATCAGAATATTTCAATTTAGTCAATAAAAAAATTCATCAAATTATATGATGCATCTTGAAGATATGTCTGAGTTTTACATTTTGTGTAATAATGACTCTTACTAAGTTGGCTCTCTCTCTCATCAACTCTTTTAGGTCCTAAAGACCAATATGTTCTTGATAATGGCATCACCTGTTCATTCCTGAGGGACCTTCGGAAGTTGAATACAAAAACACAAAATACTGAATCACTGGAGTCTTTACTATGTGAATTCTTTGCATATTATTCACAGTTTGATTTCAATACAAAAGCTGTGTGTCTGAATGAAGCAGTTAGCATAACCAAACCAGAACATACTGCAATGTACATCATTAACCCTTTAGAAAGGGGCCTCAACGTTAGCAAAAACGTTAGTTTAGATGAAGTTGAACGGTTCAAAAATGAAGTGAGAACAGCAGCTTGGACTTTGGAGTCACAGGAAAACAAGTCTAGGAATTGGGGATTACTCTCTATTCTTGAATCAAAAAAGAGAGCTGTTTCCAATGGATCCATTAATTCAAAAAATAATAGGCTCATGGAAGTTAGAGCTTTATTTGACAAAGAAAGACAGGAAGCAAACTTTCAGGAAACAAATTCTAAGAACCTGTTCAATGATGTTAGGAAAGACATAGTAGAAAATATTGAAGTGGAGAATGGCCAAAGGTAGCATAACATTTTGTAAATTGAATATACATACATACAAATATGAAATCAAGGAGAATATTTCTTTCATTCTCTAATGATCAAATATCAGCCACAGAATATATAGTGAGTTATCTCTTTAGCTCTCCATAACAAAAAGTTTCTCACCAAATGAAGATATAATCCCATCCCAGAGATGTTCACTCAAGAGAAGGAGTAAGAAGTTCTAAATAATAATACTTTAATAGGTGTTAGTATACAACCATGAAGTGCTAGCATTTTAAACTGATGAAAAATGAGAAAAAAATGCTACACTTATTAGTTTATACAAACACCCCTATGAAGCATTATATGACTTGATTCTGGGATCACTGGAAAGTAGGACATCCTCACCAAAATTTGTATTAAAATTGCTCCATCCAATGGTCGAATTTCTTCCATGACAGTATAATAATGTGTATTCTTTTATTCATTGATAAATCACATCCCACATATGAAAAATGGATTCTTCAAAAACAAATAGTTCTCAAGCTCCGAAATACACAATAATTATGAATGAAGAATGAATTACAGATAAATACATAAATACAGAGGGAGCTATGTCTAATGGTAAAAACGCTGAAAGCTGAGCAGCTATACTTGACTATGCTGATGGTAAAATAGGATATATACAGTGCTATTCTACTTATTATATGATCAATGATGGATGACCAATACAATAGTGAGAGTTTAGTTATTCTCGAGGTTATTCTGCAACTTCATTATAATCATGATGACTTGTTCAGTAGAAGTTGACCATGAAATGAATAAATGATGAATGATTAGTAGGATAACCAAGTTTATTATATTTTTGCATATCCTTGATCAATGCTGTCATCCTTGATCAATAATTATTCCTTCCTATGTTCAGTTGAAATCTCTACTTCATCAAAAAATACATCCACCAGTAATTAGGAGATAAAATTTATTGTAAATATAAGAAAAATCTTATAATAACATATATATACAACTTTCTTCTGATATTTCATTGGCATTTAGTTATTGTAGATCCTGGGAATGTGAGTTGTTTTCATGTGAAAATTCTGATTAGAATTATTTCACTTCTGTGCCCAAACCTATTCATCAAAACTCCTGTTTTTCTGATTTTGATATTCATGGTCCAGAACATAGAAACATTTTCAAGTGTAAAATAAAAAACAATTGATTTTATTTTTCCCTAAAATCATGGTATTTTTACAAAAATTATTGTTTCAGCCTATACACTGGTGCAAACTGGTGATTATATATATATTTATTTATCTATCTCATTTTTGAAACCATAACATAATAGAGGTTGAGTTGTGCCCCATGTGATTTGGAGAGTAAAGTATTCATCAGCAATTTAAATACAAATAATTTCACATTATTATTCACCTACTTTTCCAAACTTCTCACACTCAACCATGCAATCTATTTTTTGCAATTCAATTTTTTCTTGCAGTCATAAGGAGCTAGTTTGAACAATAATCCAATTTCACAGCTTATAAGGATCATCACTGAAGTTTTCACTTTTTGATGAGTATTTTGGGAACAATATTTCTAAATGTTTTTCTCTTCCTGTTTGCTTGTCCCTTTGTGATGCAATCATTATCTAATGATGTATGACAACTTTCTACACTGATGGGTTGATTTGGCATAAATGTTGGTATTGATAAACTAGTGCCACTTGGAATTAATGGAATCATCATGGGGGCAATCAATTTTTTCTTTTGGGTTTTTTGTGATGCATTTTCTTGTGTTTTCAGATTATCTGTCATTACAGTCACTGCTGATTCTGTAAGAAAAAAATAATACCTGTATAATAAGGTATATTTCAATACTTTTTGTATAATAAAACAAATGAACTAACAGAGGAGATAAGGACTTGTAGCCTTATTTCTAACCTTTGGTTGTGCCATTTTTTTCCAGAAACTGCATTAGCTGTTTTTTCAAATTGGAATTTTCCACTTTCAATTTTTTGTTCTCTTCCTTTAGGTTACAAATTTCATCTTCCATCTGTTTCCATAAAAGTTGTTTTCGTTTTCTGCACCTCATTTGGGAAGCTCTGTTCATTTCTCTTATTTGCTTTTTCTTCTCATTGCTATCAGATTCATTCTCACCTTCACTGTCTAAATTGATGATGTACTTATTTTTTTTAACTGTCAGATCTTCAAAAGGCACACATGATATAAAGCTATTCATTCCTTTTTTGCTTTTTACTTTATTCTTTTTAATATTTTCAATAATCTGATTTTTTATGGTATCAGCAACATTTCTAGATGGATGATCAGATACAATTATTGGCTGTACATCATTAGTTGTGAAATCAAAAGAATGTGAATCTGATGTAACCTGCTTAACATTTTTTTTCTGATTCTCTTCAATGTGTGGTAAAATATGTGGGGTATGCAGGGTGTCATTGGAGTTGTTTGCTTCTAGAACCTCTAAACTGTTTCCATTCTTTGCTGAATCAACAGCCTTTTTGAATGTTTCATCAAATGGATTGACATGCTGGAGATCTTGAAAAAGACCAACTTCTTCACAATTTCTAATGAATCTAGTTGGCGTCGGAGTTTGATCAGCAGATTCATTGTTTTTGTTGGTCAGTTCCAGATTCAACATCATTTCATGCTTCTTCCAGTGCCAATCTAAATGGTTCTTGTTTGTGAATGTCATATCACAACTTTTCACTGTACAAGTGAAGGGTTTATCTTTAGCACTCATTGAAATGCTTTCCAGAGTTACTTCACTGATTAGTTTTATTTTCGACTGAAAAGAGGCAGAAAGGGCCGGCCTCCTGGCCTCTATCCATTTGTATAAAATGTAAAATACATGTTAAAGGGAATAATTATCTTAGATAAAATTTGAAATCACATAAATGTAAATAATACAATATTGTCAATCTGTCAAGATTTCTTCTTATTCTTCCTCGTTTAAAAATTTGTCAAATATGTTTGAAGGCTTTGAAGTCCATCATTCTTTGAAGATATGGTTTTGAACAAGAACTGTTTGAAGTGAAGTATCAAAGCCACGTAGGGAATCAAAGCTTCTTATTTTCCTCATAGTGAGATGTGAAAGATGAAGAAGATCATTTAAACCATTGATGTTTGATTTGGCCAGATAGCCCAGGTAGCTAAGGCCACGCCATACAAATCGAAAGGAAGAATAAGAAGAATGATGTTTGATTTCAACTTTTGAATTAAAATATTTAAATCAATAATTATAATCTTTAAACATGAATGACAAAGAGTTTTCATCACAATTTCAATCGTTGTTAGGTATAATGTTCAAGTATAATTAGGTATCTAGTATCTCTGACAATTATATTATCAATTTATATTTTCAGTACCACAAAGTGAAGTTATATGTTCACCCAAGAAAAACTTGACAGGATGTCTTCGAATAGCTAAGGATATTGTTGCTGATCTTTACAATGCTATTCAGAAGTGGAATGATTCTCATATCAGGGGAGCTCAATGTGTGAAACAAATTGCCATACTGAAATCTGACAATAGAGAGTTGACAACACAACTGGAAGATTATTTGAATAGTTTGTACATCATTGTGCAGAATTTGAGGTGTCTTGAAGAACAATTTGCATTATTTAAATCCCAAATCAGAGCTTTGGAAAAAATCGAGAAGAAATCAGAAAACATTTTCTTATCCCTCAATGTTTTAGGACTTGCAAAATTGATTGAATCTATAGTTGATGCTTATAGGGAAGAGTTTAAGGTAGGCAGGAATACCTGAAACTATGGTGAAGGGTACCTATTCACTATCAACACATTTTGATGAAGGTTTTGGATAAATGTTGAATTTTGTCATATAAATTATTAAAAATAATTAATTGGAGAACTTTGTTGTAGGTGAAAGAAGTTATTCTGGAAAATATTGCACATTCTAAAAATAAGCATGAAGTGATGTTTTATGCCACTTGCTGGACACTTCAAGCCAATATAACAAGTGATACAAATTTTAAATTAGAACTAATTCTTCTGGAAACTGGTCATCTAAAAATTTGCACATGAAATACTATTTTGATCAAATGCAGTGTGATTCTTCTGCTGATACCAACTGACTGATATCTCAATCATGGAAAATACACTTTTAACTTGTGACTGAAAACTATTGAATAAAACAGCATTGTTGAGAATAAGTTTACTCTCATTTCAATTTTTAAAGGTACACAAATATAACATATCAAGCAATGCTGCTAGCATTTGATGCTATTCTTGGCCACAAATCTGCACATTCTTTTGCTACTGGTCCAGTAATAGCAGACCCTTTCATTTCTCCTTTGTTGTTGACAATGACTCCAGCATTATCTTCAAAGTATATGAAGACACCATCCTTCCTACGGAAAGGTTTTCTCTGCCTGATGACCACTGCAGGCATAACCTTTTTTCTGAGTTCTGGTTTACCCTTTTTCACAGTGGCTACAATCATGTCACCTGCTGCTGCAGCAGGCAGCCTGTTGAGACGTCCACCAATACCTTGTACTGCAATGACATATAAGTTTTTTGCTCCTACAAAAGAGTTACATTGTTAGAACAATATGACAACCCATTATTCACTAGAAGGTATAAACTGAAATTCTAATTTTCTTCAAATTTGAAAACTCACCCGTGTTGTCAGCACAATTGATAACAGCACCTACAGGAAGTGCCAGGGATATCCTGAATTTGGCTCCTGCGGAACCACCACGTCCTAAAAAACAGTGAAAACTTTTAGAGACCACAACAACATAACCTACGAAAACATATCACAAATTTTTTCGAACAATTATCTGATCAATTGAGAAAATAAATAATTAGTAACTCGACTGTATGAGTTCCAATGATAATTATGGTAAAATACTTCGTCTAATTACAATGATTGTTATAATTTGAGCAGATTTATGAAAAACATACCTCTCTTCGACATTTTCAAAGTTTAAGAGAAATTTAATTTGACAGAATGACAGAAAAAGACACCTATCATTTGCTATTGACGTTGACGATTGACGTATGGCACTTGCGACTTCAGTTGAGACAGTGATTCTGTTATTTTATGGTTATTTTAAGCCTTTAGCCCTCGTGGCCGATATGCTTTCAACATAGTCCAAGAACATAGTCATCTAATGTCTTAGGTCTTAGGTCTTAGGACTCTTGGGTCGCTTGTCAGTTGTGCCTTGTGCTAGTTGTGCGTTATGCATGATAATATGTGGATATTGTGGATATTGGAGAAGAGGGAGAAGGTTACTAAGGGTTACGGTCATCTCATACGGAATATAAAGATTTTATCACTTTTATCAGTTTATCTGATAAGCTTTGGTTTTTTTGATAACATTAAAATTCATGTGAATAAATTTGAAACGATAAGAAATAAAAATCACAATAAAAATAAAAAAGATCTTGGTTTGGTTGATGGTGTCTTGAAATATAATTGTAATAAGGCTTATAAAATTTGTTAATTGATGCAGAGCAAGACTAGTAAAGAAATGAAGAAATTATGACGTTAACCTAACCTGAATTCCTATATTTTCCTCAATCTACTAACATGTCTTTGATTGAGAAAATCTCCATAGAACTTGGAGGTAAGTACTCATCAACATAAGCAGTTATTTTGTTCAAAATAAGTAATTTTAAGAAATTTTTAATTAATCTCCTATCATTTCTCACAGCACAGGAGCCATGGCCAAAAGATGTCAAGTTATTTCAGCCTTATGAAGTTGAACAAATTCTCTTACCTGATAATGCAAACTGTTTGGCGGTCCAAGCATTTCTCAAAATGTGTCATTTAGATTATACAGTTGAACCAAAACCAAATGCTGAAGCTATGTCACCAACTTTGAAAGTCCCATTCATAAAGGCAGGTAGATTTGTTATAGCAGAAGTGGAAGGAATAGTACAGTTCATTAATGGAAAAGGTATAACTTTGACAGAAAAGTTGGATAGTGAACAGAAGACTGATTTGAGGGCTTTCATGTCATTGCTTCATAATGTTATGGAAATAGCTGAGGTTGGTATATATTACTTTAAAATTAAGTTTTTGTCCAAATTGACTACTAACTGAACTAACTATAGTGTTTGATATATATTTATCCACATATTTATATTTTATTTGAATGCCTATCAGATACTATTGGAATAAATCAATCTGTAACTTATTTTTTTAGCTTTATGTTTGTTGGGTTGACCAAGAAACTTATAATGAAATTACTAGTTTTCGACATGGTTCAGTGTATCCCTGGCCTCTGAATCATATCCAAAATAGATCTAAAAGAAACCAGGTTATCAAAAAATTATCAGCTATGAACTGGTATAAGAAAACTTTGGAGGATGTCTTTGAAGAAGTTGACAAATGTTGTGAGGCTCTCAGTACACGTCTTGGTGATGGACATTATTTTTTTGAGGATGGGTAAATATGACAATTTCATTTTTTCAAATATAACATTTTATATTTCCCTTTTTGACAGACCTACAGAGTTGGATGCTTTAGTTTTTGGTCATTTGTTCACAATTTTGACTACTCCTTTACCCAAAAATGATCTGGCAGAGATAATAAGGAAATACCCCATGCTGATAGCACTTGTAGAAAGAATTGAGAAACAATATTTCAAAAAAGAAACTGAACATTGATATTATAACTGTGTTGTCTTGTTATACTAGTTCAAATAAAATATTTAGTGATGTTAATTTCTGATTGTGATTGTATCTTTATACATATAGAGAGATAATTATCATATATATATATATATATATAGTCTGCATTGGTTGAAATCAGGAAGATCCACTGGAGAGAAATAAGTTTATTAAGCACCATTTTGAATACAATTATCATGTTCATTGATAATATTCTTAGTTCATAATATAGGTCAAATATGATTGAGAACCAGAGACTCATTATGAAATCTGTACATCAAAACAATGAATCTTTGATTCAAAACCACACTAATTGAAATTCATTAAGAAATTGAATCAACACTAAATAATTATGTTTTATTTAAATTTCCACTGAAACTAACACTAAGTTTCAGGAAAAGATTACTTCATTGATCAGGCAGATTTTAAAAAGGTAATTTTGTCATCACACCTTTAGAAAATCTGCACTGCTAGTTTTATAAAATACCTTCACCATCCCTTGATAAAAAATTAATACATTAAGGCTAGAAGATTTTGTCACTACTCATGGTGACTTGAAATTTCCTTTTGCAGTGACCCATTTGAAAGCAGGATTTTGACAAACTTTTTTTAGAAAATGTGGAGGGGGGAATGGCGTATTTTGGAGCTAAGTGGTGTCCACATTTTCCAAAAATCAAGACCTACTAGATCACATTCAAGATCTGAAAAATCCAGAATTCATATTCACGATTTTTATAGAATAAAAATCAAATACGCCACTGGCATTGGCATCCTCTAAAATAGACCTGTACCTACCAAGTTTCATGAAAAACTATCCAACATCAATGATCCTACTGACAAGTTGTTTGCCTTGTGAGAAGATTTTTATGTTTTGATATTCATAATAGTAGGCTTCACAATTACTAAACATAACACAGGTTTTTTCTCCTTTGAAAAAGAAACAGTTTGTGCAGTTTCACAGAACTGTTGGTATTTTATTTTTCATGTTGCCTGGAACTGCTTCTGATGGTTTGGGACTGTTTATTTTTGGAAGGAGAACAAACAAAACATATATTAATGAAGTTTCCTCTCAGTTCTCTAGATTTTTTTTTAAGGGGGTTTAATGAAGAAGAACCATTTTAGATGAATTTCTTTCTAGGAATGTTTTAATAAGAATGTCTATTAAATATTGTTATTATGTAAAGTCATAATCCATTTTTTATCACATGGGTAGTACATGAAAAGCTTCTTTATTGCATAATGAATATATATAACTTGTCAGTAATTTATTCATAGATTTGTTGATGTTGAATATTTTTCCATGAAACTTGCTACATATTCAATTCAGATGACGTCTATTTCAGTGGCGTACGGATATTTTTTCTAAAAAAATCTCGAATAATGATTCTGCCCAGTAAACATGAGACATTTATGAAATATTTCAAGATTACCAAAAATGTTAATGATTGAAACATTTTTCAGGAACATTCCAGAGATATTGCAAAATCACTGTAACATTCCTGAAATATTTCAAAACAACAATAATTGATATATTCCGAAACATTTCGAAATTACTTGTGAAGTGAATGAATGAAACATTCCAAGATAACTTTGATTGTGGATAATTGAAACATATCATTTACTACCTATTCAGGAATGTTTCAATGCGTTTGAAATATGTTTGAAACGTTTCAAGCTACCTCAAACTATTGATATTTTGAAACATTTCAAATATACTCTCATTGCGAATTACTTCAAAAAAATGGTAGTGAATAATTGAAACATATCATTTACTACTTATTCAGGAATGTTTCAATGCGTTCGAAATATGTATGAAATGTTTCAAGGTACCTCAAACTATTGATATTTTGAAACATTTCAAATATACTCTCATTGCGAATTACTTCAATGTTTCAAGACAACTTGATTTGCTTGATTGAAGAACATTTCAAAATCACCTTAATTTTAAATGATTGGAACATTTCGATATGACTGTCCTTCTGAATGATGGAAACATTTTTCAGGAACATTCCAGGAATATTTCAAAATCTTTGTACCATTTCTGAAACATTTCAAGACAACTTCAACTGATATATTCCGAAACATTTCGAAATTTCTTGGATAATTAATGAATGAAACGTTTCAAAATTTCTTCAATTGTGAATAATTGAGACATTTCATTTTCTTCTTATTCAGGAATGTTCCAATGCGTTCGAAATATGTTTGGAACATTTCAAGGTTCATCAAACTATAGAAATTTTGAAACATTCCAAATATACTCTTATTGCGAATTACTGCAATATCAAAAGACAACTGAAGTTGGTTGATTGAGGAACATTTCAAAATCACCTGAATTTCAAATGGTTGGAACATTTCGATATTACTCTCATGAATAATGGAAACATTCATCAGGAACATTCCAGGAATATTTCAATATCATTGCAACATTTCTGAAACATTTCAAGACAACTTTAATTGATATATTCCGAAACATTTCAAAATTACTTGAATCATTGATTAATGAAACGTTTCAAAATCACTTCAATTGAAATATATCATTCAATACTGATTCAGGAATGTTCCAATGCGTTAGGAATATGTTTGAAAAATTCCAAGGCTCCTCAAATTATTGACATTTTGACACATTTATTAGGAATTACTTACCTACTACGATATTCCAAGACACGCAACGAATTTTTTAATTTAAGAATATTTCAAAATAACCCGAATTTTAATAATTTAATTAGATTATTTCACAACTATTACATGGTCTATTTTGACCAATCATTTTATCATATTATGATGCAATTCAGCATTTCCCCTCTACAGCCGCCGCTTTCGTGGCTTCGGTAATCGATCGCGGGTTCCCGTCTTCGGCTCTAAGCGTTCGCGCACGCGCATTCAGTTTCCTTCTCCTTGGTGAAAGGCTTCAAGGGCTTCGCAGTTTTCGCTTTCCGACTGTTGTCTCTTGTCTCAAGCCAAGCAAAGCAAAAGACATCTAATATCGTATAATAGTGATAAAATATAATTATTTCACTCAAGTCAAACACATTTTCGAGTGTTTACTATTTAATCGTACCGGTAGACCTCTTAGGTGATTTAGGCCATGTGAAGTTACATCAAAACTTGCAACCAAACAAACAACACAAACGACTCCATTTTTTTTATTATCCCCTGGTGTGGCTGGACTTTGGAATGTATTCAACGGCTCCATGTACAAGGCCGAGGTACGTATAAATATAGAAAAACCATAATTTCAGATAAACTATCAAATATTATTAGATATCATGATGGGTATATTCATAATGATACTTTTTGTTCTAGGATGGAGTATGTGAAAATTTCATCATGACTTAGAAGCTGCACAAGAATAGTGCTTTCAATTGCGATGTAACCGAAGAAAAATATTGAAGCACTCAACATGTGAATAACGATGTTAAATTACTTGATATATATGTACATACCTAATACGTCGTGATTATGTGAAATATCTGATGATACTTTTTTAACTGCTTTTTTCATATATCATTATATAAGCAATATAATCCATTTTTTTATGTCTATTATCTTTCATTTCACCAGCAATATGAATATATTCCAGCGATATTGGTAGGTATTTTTCATTATGAAACATTCAATGGGAATGTTTCATAAACAGTAATATTGTTGAATGAAAAACATTCATGAAATGTTTCATGAAACATTCCCGAAAGTTCTACAATGAATGTCCCCAGGATGTTTCTATATATATGTATTTGAAACATTATTTGTGAAACATCTCTGGTGGCGAAAATTTATCGTTTCAAAAATATTCATGGAATGTACCAAGAAACATTCCTAAAGATCTAATCATATTGGGAATGTTTCCAGAATGTTTCAAGCATTTGTATTCGAAACATCATTCCTGAAACAGTTTTGAGGGCAAATATCTTTGGTTTCACGAATATTTCTGAAACATTTCATGTAATATAACGAAAGAAATATTTATGAAATATTGCATGGAACATTCCTACAGGATATGATCATGGTAGAAATGTTTCCAAAATGTTTCAATTCTCGTATTCGACACATTATTTAGGAACATTACCATGAAACATTCCTGAGGGCGGACATCTCTAGTTTCTGGAATGTTTCTGGAACATGTAGGCAACTTTGAATGCAATGTTTCATGCATCAATACTACGTTTCTGAAACATTTCAGAAACAAAAAAATGTTTACTGGGTGGATTTTACAGCCTCTGAATGTGATTTAGTAGGCCTTGGTTTTAAGAAAAAGTGGACACCGATCATTCCCCCTACAAATCGAAAAAAAAAGTTCATCAAAATTGCTACATAAATAAAAGGTATATGAGGGTGGCCCGCTTTCAATTAGGTCACTCTGTATTTGTTTTAATGAAGTCAGGTTTATGTCCCAGGAGATTAATTTCAAAAATAAAAAAAAAAATATGTAAAAAAATGAGGTCTGAGGAAATACATAAAATGAGTTTAAAAAATCCTCGACGAATTATATGAGCAATATATCAGCCAAATATGGCACTTGAGCTGTAAAAAAAATTCAAATAGACTATAAATGGCAGTTGAAATTTTCTGCTGAAACAATGAATAGGTACTAGGTCCTGTCATTTGAGGAAAAAAGCAATTATTTGATGACTAAAACCGATCAACTGCTGTTTTTGTTCTAAATTCCAAAACGTCCTGTTTCATTAGAGGATCCTAGTTGGAGATAACTTTAGGCAGTATTTATTCAACTAGTATGGCTGTAGGCAGTATTAGTATATGGACCACTGTATATGGAACTGCCTGGATGTGAAGTGGCCTTCCTTCTTCTCTTTGCTAAAAGACACAGGACTGCCGCAATAACACACAGCATCAATATCAGTCCAGCTATGCAAATTCCTATTGCAAAACTCCTAGGTGATATACAGAATTGATCAGTAGTCTGAAATAAAACGATGAACAACGTAATTATTTAACATATATTTGGTAATCAGATGAAATATGATAAGAACACCAACTGATCATCATCATCCGCTGTTGACGGCGATTACGCGATCATGACTATGGCGGAATAAACGAAAACTGTGCGATGTGCTTACTGTGCGTAACGAGCTACTTACTGAGGCTGTATCTCGTGTGTTCTTGCCTACTTTCTATAGTGGCCGTAGGTAAATAGTTATATACATACGAAATTTATTTCTCTTCATTGTTTTATTCATTTGGCTCATGATGGGCCATTATTGTAGTTCTAATCAGATCATGTTTCCTTCTCATACAATAATCTCCCAATATTATTATTGAAAGTTGTTGTGGATAAGTCTTGAAATGTTTGTTGCCTTATGAATAATAAAGGAGTTGGCGAAATAACAAAATAAATGTCTTAGTATATCTAATATGACTTGGGTATAGCAACGGCTATTAAATTAGTGTATTATGCATCAATTGATTCACACATGAGATATGGCATCCCATTCTGAGGAACCTGCAATAGACATCAGTGCTTCTATTTGATCTTTTCTTTTCTATGTAACAATGCAGCCGAATTATTCAACCTTCTTCCAATAACATCTAAATCATTGAGTCACCATTTGTATTTAGCAGATCGGTTTAGATATATTATATATATAATGAATACACCTCAACAAAAGCTGTTGTTGTCTCCTTTCATTTTATTGTATATCTTCTATGTAATAATTTATTTCAAGTGTTGTGCATTGTAAATGAACATTTTTGACTTGATTTTATAGGTACTTAATAACTTAGACTATATTTCACTGCCCTCTCCTCAGGACTTTAATAATGAGATTATATCTTCAGAAAATAAAGCATATTTTGATTGATTGAAATGAATATGAAACACGAAATACAAATTTAAGTGGTACGGCGGTAGCTTGCCTCATTAATATTATGAGGATTTTTTTCATCGCAGTGACCACATCTTTCAATTGACACCTGTTGAAGCCACATTAAAGATGATTTAAACATTGAAACAGCAAAATTTCGTTAGTTGGTGCCTCTACAGTCTCTAATTCGTAACAAGGCCATCTTGGTCAAGGAGGAGAATAATTAATAACGATATTTTCGACTAATCGTCACGACACGATGCTCACCTTTTCGCTGTAGACGGAGTCGTCTTCTTCTCCAGCTTTGGAGAGGTCGTTGGCCTCGTTGACGTACAGCCCGCTGTATACTTCGATGGTGGCAGGCGTGCCTTCACCCAGCGGGTCAGAAGAAGAAGATGGCTGTCCGGTCGCTTGGCGCCGCAACCTGTTGCCGCCTCCGGTCGTGCTACAGGTCGGTTCCTGAAACGAAAGAAATCACCTTAAAACCTACTTCTGTTCTTATTCATTCATCTGTGGTAAAGTGATGCAAGTAAATTCGCGAATGACGACATGAGTCGACAGAATCACTGAGAATTGATCATATTTCAGTTGGAAAAAGTTAGAAGTTAGACATTTTGTGCTATTGGTTGGCTGCAGTTACTCTAAAGTTGAGTGCCATATGTCGAATGCATTGTCTTTTGTCAATGTCAATTGAAAAACAAAGGGTCCGAGAAATTGTTTTCGCTCTCGTTCTTGCTTTCATTTTCAATAATTGAGAATTCGCCAGGTTTTGATCTTGTTATAGAAACAATAATTTTTGACAGTGATGTCGATTTTATTCACATTTGACATTTGACACCTGTGTAGCCAATATACCTCAAAATGGCTGCCGTTTCCGGAATGTCATTCTTGGTCAAGTCACTCACTAGCTAAAAATCTGAAGGGTATCTCCCATTCAGTAACGAATTTGCTCCTTCGAAGTGCCCACCTGATGTTAGGTTCAGATATTTGATATTTTCATTTCATCTCAATATAATCTGGGACTTATTAGGAGTCCCAAATAATAGACGAATTCTAATAGCTAATATCCAAGGTACTGACGTATAGAGTTTCATGTCTGATTGTTGGATGTTTTGTGTCCAAAGAGCAAAAAACGGAGACAATAAAGCATGCGTTGAATAGAGTGACTTATTAAATAGGGTGACGACAATAGACATCCAAATGATTGCCATTTCCGGAATGTCAAGTCACTGAATAGCTAAAAATCTGAAGGGCAAATCCCATGCATTAATGAATTTGCGCCTTCGAAGTGCCCACCTAATGTTAGATTCAGATATTTGATATTTTAAAATGTATATATTATTTCGTTACACGACGACAGTGACGACCAAAGCGACGACTTCAACTCAATTCAACGACAATACGTAAACGTTATTTTTCGTACGTTAACGTCTACGTGGAGGTCTTCGTTCAGTGATAACTTCAACTCTCTAACCGAGTCTAGGTCTCAGTGCAGTATACCACAGATTAACAAACCTTAGCAGTACGCACAGTACACGCATTATATATATATATATATATAGATAAGTTCTATCAAATAATATTTTCTAGCTGCATTGAAAACTGAAGGTCAAGGTAGGTGGCTTAGTTAACAAACAAAAATCATGTCAAAAAGTTGTTTAAGTGTATATATCATCCTTTTCGAAAGTGCTTGTGCTCGCTCGGTCGAATTACCTTTCAAGAGTGCTTGGTGCTTATAGTGCTCGAAGCACTTTTCGTCAGTCTGTCCGAAAATCTCATCTAAATTGCTAGCTTAAGAATGCTTCTGCTCAATGCACAAGAACTTCCAAACCGTTGTTCACGACATCGAGTCGTGTCTCTAGGCTGTTCGAAAACATAAGTAAGAATGAGTAAGAAATATACGACAGGTCCTGAATGCGCACTCGTCAATAAATGAGCTTTGATCTGATTGTCCGTCTAGTTAGCTATTTATGTCGGTGGTATGAACCTACCATAACTTCGCAACCGTCATCAGCTTTCAAACAAAGCCTCACGTTACACTGATAGTAAACGGAAGCCGTGTAAGGAAACTTATGTGCCTGGAACTGCACTGAGGCCCTCATCTTGTCTTCGGAGTAGTGGAACATCCCCATGATCTCCGAGTCCGTCGGGCAACCCTTGTCGTTGATGAGCTTCTGTTCGCCCCAGCCGAGGCCGTCCTTCACTATGCAGTCGGTGACGCGGATGCCATAGGTGTCTTGATCGTCGAGAGAAACGACGAGCGTGAGGAGGTCGCCGATTTTCACGTTTTCGGCTACTTCTTTTTCCGTGGGGTCGCCCGAGAAGATCTTCATGCTGCAGCCCGGCATTGGGGTCAGAGCGGTGACTAGATCGGCGGACATTAAACTGTGAAGAAGATTCAGAATAGGATGAACAGATAATGGTGTAGAAACTCCTATCAAACTCCATGTACTGTATTTTGGTCAAAGTTCTTCACCTACGGCCTGCTTGACAGAAGGATTCTTTTCAATATCGCGGAAAATAAGTCGCATTTCACCCGTTAGATGGCGAAATCTCAACAAAAATTCAAGGTTGGTAGAGCTGATGTTAATTAAAATTCCCCAAAATTACAGTTTCTCACTTTCGAATTTAATCTCATTTGAGGTTATGTTATGAATAATATGAATGTTATGATATTATTATTTCTGGTGCAAGCGGTGTGTAATCGCCTTCTGTCAGGAAAGAAATCTATGAAAAATGTCGCTATCTTGCGGACAACTGAGAACTAATATGCCATTATTGCGGAATCTGCGGTCAAGCGTTTTGGGAGAAACAAAACACTGTACCTATATCTCGAAATACCCCAATATTTTTTGTCATCTAACACTATAGCTACAGAAGTAATTTCAATTGAAAAATGAAAGAATAAAACATATGTTTTTTACATTCAGGAATTAAAATATCAAAAAATTCCTTAGAAACACCAACGCGTCTAGAATCAAGTCGTTTAAAAAAATAATAGAGGAGAGTAAAATAATCCGAGATTTTTCTGGATCTCGATCCCTGATTGGAAACCATATCTAATATCATTGCTGAGTATATTTTCATAAGTACTTTATTTAAACTGCTGAACACTCGTAAAATCGAAATCATCGATTCATTTTGATTCATCCTAACTTTCGATCGCCACAACTGATTCAATTTTTTGTCAGTTCCTGGTTCGTTTCATAGACTATCGAAGTTATGGAGATGATCATTGCATCTCTTCAGAAAGAGATTCTACAGGATGATAATTAAAGCTGTGCCAATTTTTCAAAAATTGCCATGGCCAACGTTTGGAAGGACATGTTTTGAAGTTTTTTTTCTGAGGTGAAAAACATCGCAATATCTGTTTTCTCGAAACCTCGAACTTCTTTTTTTTACATAAATTTTGAAGCTACTCATGAACGTTGAACATTGCACGCATAACTTGAAAACACCGCAACGGATTCTCAATTATTTGACATAATTGAGAAGCAAATGAAATGAGGAATCTAAAACGAAAAAAAATGTTATATCAAATGTTATTTACAAAACTACATTATTTTGAGCTACCTTGCTTTGTATATGTATATAATTATGTGTTTGTATATGTAAGCAGCCTACCGCAATTGAAGATTTTTGAAACATTTGTGTCTCAGAAAACCGAAGAATATAATTAGACCACGAAATGTGCATATAAGTTAATCTGACACTAAATTGACACACCGTACATAGGTACAAAAATAATAATGCGTTGTAGAGGTAAACAAAAAACAAAAATTAAACAAATCTAGTGAACAAATGATGTGCATACTTGATGATATAATATAATAACGACCTCCAAACTGAAAGATATGTTATCAGCTGAGAAAATCTCATTCCAATTGAAACTATTCATATGTTTAAGTAGGTAGGAAGGTAGCTATGAGTTTTTCTATTATAATGCATAAAATAGTCTACCTACGGTATCTGAACACCAATTATGTTCAAAAAAACAACCTTGATGAATTATGTAATCTTGCAATAATTAGGTATGCCAAGCAATTCAGCAATTATTAACTTATTAAATGAAGTGTACTTCCACTCTTGATGGTTCAAATATCTTATTATGTAATCTGCTTTATTATCGACAATCTATTAAAAACTACTTACTTTACTTTCAGGGAATCATTCATTACAGTATTGTTTCTAGTGTTGTATCGACATCTGATATGGAATCCTCTTCCTTGATTCGTAACCAGCTTCAAATGTGGCTGAACCACGATCGTATTGAAATATTCGATACCGCCATCGTCCTGTTGAAAAAAAAACAGGAATTCAATAGCCTGATATCAGAGAAGGAATAATCGTACATATACCGGTGCCCCCGGCCGCCCCTGTAACATTTACCTGTGTGTTTTGAGCTAGAATTTTGAAATTTGATGAGTTCATATACACTCAGTTCCAAAAAAAGTGACGCACTTGATATTTGACCTATCTTCTTAAAAAAAAATCAAAAAATAGTACGCTGATTTTTTTTTATTTGTTGGTAGGTAATGCATTTGTCTTAAAAAAAAATAAAGAGGTGAACATTTTTTCAAAGCCTCCTTGATGGTGGTGGAATAACTCGAACCATGATTTATTCCTAATTTTTGACTCACCCTGTGTGTTAATTGAGTAATGGTATACAAAGTGCTTAGACCCTATACGAAAGAGGCTTCTTTTGCGAGCATTTTGTTTTTTATTCATTGATTTATCTCTAAAATTTTCCGAATTACAGCTTTTTTTGCTTATCGTTTCCATTGGTATACGATCTGCCATTTCTTCGAGACTTTCCGGAGACCTCTCGCGAGAACGTACCCTTCCCCCTAATTCATCCCACAAATGTTCTATAGGATTCATATCGGGGCTTCTCGCAGGCCATTTGAATGTGGTAATAGTAGTAGCTTCTAAGAAGTTTCGCACTATTGCTGCGAGCATTATCCTGCATCAATATAAAATGATTGCCCGCACTAACTCTGCATAAGGTAAGAGATACTGCTCTAGAATGTCAATGTAAATTTGGGCATTCATCGACTGCCTCACCGGAAAAACATGAAGGGGTGTCTTTCCATTCGTTGAAATCCCTCCCCACACCATAACGGACCCACCATTAAAACTTTCGCATTCTGTTATTAAATTTTGATTAAACCGTTCACCAGTTCTCCTCCACACTCTTTTTCTTCCATCCACCATGTTGAGGCAAAACTTTGACTCATCCGTAAACAAGACGACATTCGACCATTCAGGAATATTCCACTGTCCATAATTTTCAACAAAATTTCTTCTAGCAGCACGATGTTCAGGAAATAATTTGGGACCTTCTGCAGGTCTCCTAGCTTCTAAATTACCTTCTTTTAGACGTCTACATACCGTCTGCCTATACTTACTGCAACATCACGAATTTGGCGAAGATCTTGCTGAACATTTACCGCAGTATTTGATCGATTCCGTAAAATACGCAATCTCAAGAAGCGATCATCTCTTGGAGAAGTATTTTAGGGGCGAACAAAACCGACCCTCCGAGCGGTGCTTCCTGTTTGTTCGTACTTATGCGGATTGCTCTACGAGCAGTTGCTTCATGAACTCCCACTGCACGAGCGGCGTAACGTTTACTACGCCCATCGTTTACTAACGCAACTAATCTTGCTACTTGTTCAGGATTTATTTGAGGCATTTTATGTAATTTTAGTCAATAAAACAAGATACTTAATTGATGACACAACGACAAATGGTCAAATATGGAGGCATCAACAAATTAGTGCTAAGGCAACGGCATTCGTTTTTTTTAAGACAATGTGATCCTACCAGAGTATATACAACCCAATCAATTTTGAGTACTCTGATCCATCAATGAATTTAATTTGTGGGATAAGCGTAAGGTATCAGCAAAAAAGCTGTAATTCGGAAAATTTTAGAGATAAATCAATGAATAGAAAATCAAAATGCTCGCAAAAGAAGCCTCTTTTGTATAGGGTGCAAGCACTTTGTATACCATTACTCAATTAACACACAGGGTGAGTCAAAAATTAAGAATTAATCATGGTTCGAGTTATTCCACCACCATCAAGGAGGCTTTGAAAAAATTTTCACCTCTTAATTTTTTTTTAAAGACAAATGCATTACCTACCAACAAATAAAAAAAATAAAAATCCCTACTATTTTCTTTTAAGTGCGTCACTTTTTTGGAACTGAGTGTATATCATATCTTTATGTCGCTTTCACTAATAAACTTTGGATTTTGAATATTTCTACTTTTTCGGATTCAGGAGATCATTTCACATACAATATGTTTACATGGAAGTTCCACAAGTTTTCATTTTTTATTCGATTTTTGAAATCGTATGTAGCTGATGTGGTATCAATTAATCAGTTGGAGAATATTCTTTGAAAAAAATAACTTGATGAGACCAAAATATTTTGTAGCAGGTACAGTCACCTGAAAACTATTCCAGAAATAGGATAAAAAATTGACTGGTTACAATTATTGAGTCTGTGCTAGATACGGCTCTGAACACAGTGCACACCAACACCACAAAAAAGCAGAAAAAGAATGGAACGAAGACACCATATCGCTTTTGCTGCTTGCTTTTGCTTTTGGTATCCGCTGGCTGGTGAAGCTGGTATGTGGGTAGTCGTTTTGTTTTCTTACCTTGGTGATGATGTCACGCGAATCTACTCAAGGTGAGAGTATAACTTCATGACTAATCGATCGTGTCTTCGCGAAAATATTTATTTGAATGCTTTAACAACTATTCGTTCTGCACGGACAGTACCTAGTCAATAGTTGCATTAATCAATAAGTAATTATTATTTTAGTGATATTAGTGAGACATTTCAGAGATACCTAACTATATATATTATTGTGGTTGAGGGTTGTATAATTAGAAAAGATGTAATAATAATTATCACTATGAATTTGTTTTCCGCGTCACAGTTATACTCTTGCTCTCACTCTGCCCACATACCTATTGGATTTTTTAGTAGGTATAAAGGGTATGGTATATAATCGAGTACCAGATGAGTCAATTCAAAAGAAGCTATATATAACCAAGTTGCTATAGCGTCTGGTCTTACCAGATTTTTTTCTCCTGAAGGCCATATTATTATGAAGTACCTATTCCAATATTATCTTCACTTCGAATATTCTATTCATATGCCTTCGATTGCCCTTCCATATAATATTGTAGCTAATATTGAATCCAATGACAATAAGTATACATAGGAAGGTAGGTATCCCGACTTCTTTGTTTGTTCTGTATGGAAACACGACAGGTACCCTTACTAGGGAAGGGAGGTCTTGATAAAATATACTGTAGGTATAGGTACTTATTATATGGGTACAATATTTTGATGTATTTTGAGCACGTCTAATTTTTGTTCTTACCTAATTAAAGCAGTGTATCTATGTCTTTATATTATGGAGCAAACAGTCAATCCGTATCGAATCAAATGATATTTACATAGGTACCTACCTACCTCCATATCCTGAAAATTCTGGTAACTTCTTGAACAAAACTGTATCAGTACAATTCAAGTTGAAAAAAGACATGTTCTGATATCTAAAAAATGGTCTCTAATACCCTCGTACAACATTCTGCAGGCGTGGTCGGTATGGTGAACAAATGTTGATACATTATTGAATCATTTATGTTTCTTTTATATTTTATGCCATGCACAAAAAGTTTTTAAATAATAATGTACCTATTCAATAAAACCTACTGGTTGCTAAATCATTTTAAATATATGTAGGTATATATACGATACATTGTGTAGGTGGTTATTGGATGACTATGAAATAAATATAAATGAAAGTAATTTTTGATTCACGTAAGTTTATTGAATATTGATTATATATAGAGACTGTATGAATAATGGAATGACATTTGAGAGATTTTATTTCCAGCAACTATCACAAGATGGCCATTTTTTGTCAATACTAAATTTTAATTAGTCTTCGGTATCGTCAACCACCATATACAATAGGTATATTTTATGTGCATGATAATGATAATATTATGCAATGGCTTTATTATACTCTTTGTTGGTGGCTGGCTTGGCGAGACGAATTGACCATCATGGCGAGATACCCAGATTATCTACCTTATAGAACTGGTTTTCGGAAAGAAATATCTAGTCACTCTGTGTTCAGGTTCTGTGACTCTGATAATATGAAATGACCATCACGATGGCCGATTGTCTTGATGTGTGTGTGAAGAGCTATAACAACTGACAGTTTTTCGAGTTTTGCGAAATCTTTATATATTTATCACTCTTTTACAGTAAGGATTATGCATAATAATATGCAATATAATATGGAATATTTGATGCATTTTCAAGCAGGAATAACATGTAGGTTTCTCTCAAGATATAGCTAATAAATTGGTCCCTATCTTATACTTGGATTGGAAGGCATCAGAAGAGACAGGGTGATTGATGGTTCAGTTCGTCTTTAGACTTGCCTCTTCTTTCCCCAGGTAGCACACAGTGACGTAGAAAGGACGTCCTAATTTGGTCACACAACTGACCAATTGACGTCTTGAAGACTTCGAAAAGACGTCAAAAATGTCACAGCCATATGACGTCATATTTAGACGTCAAAATGACGTCTCAGAATGACTATATTGAAAAACAATTATTACAAATATAGACATATATATTTTTATCTTTATAGTTTGCATCTCTATATTAGTATATCATTAGCTATTTATATTTTATCTGTAGATGTAAGCGGAATGGAAGTAGTTGAAGAGAACCGTATATACAAACTCAAACTTTGTATAGAATAGTCGATGGAAAGGTAAAATGATAACCGATTCTTTTATTCGGTCATACGAAAGAATGTTGAACGGAAAAACGACGTTATTATGACGTCTTCTTAGGTCACTCTGCTATATGTATATGGGTATTTTATACCTATATTTCAAACCTGTCCATATATCCAGTGATACCACTATACCGGGTGGGTCAATCGTGTGTTCTTTTTTTACACATCTCCTAATTTACAGTTGCAACTCAGGTGTTTTGAAAAAAAAACTTTTCGTGTTTTTAGGATAGCAGTTCAGATGCGTCGTACAATAGGTACTTCTCGGGTACATATCAACAATATACACTCGAGTACAGAATTTGGTATGAGTATAGTAGTATAAATTAGGTAAAAGTATTTCTGTCAACTTACAAGTTCAGTGCTCATGGTGTTGCAACCTCTGAGAGGAAGAGTATATTCGATGGGCACCTTCTTTTGAACCCATTCACCCAAGCAAGAACTGTTTTTCGACAATCCTCTCGGATAGATCATGCCGTTGAAACGTCCCGATCTGGTGTTGATTTTCAGGAGGATTTCATCGCTGTTGCATTCGACTCGTATGTCTGATGTGGCTTCTGGTGCACCTATAAGATAAAGAAAATGTTTCACCTGCTTGTTGACTTCTTGACTCATCTCTGCTCAATACAAACTGTCAATTTTCTTCACGTATATACAGGGTATCCCATGAATCATGGATCAGAAGAAGTGGGATGGTAGGGGGCGGGGGGGCATTTCCTATCAAACTAATCGTGTATGAGTGGTCATCCAATTGTTGATAGTTCAAAAGTTATTAATATTTTTTCATTTCTATAAAAAAATTGATACAATGAAACTATGTCATATTTTTCATTTTTTCTTTTACAAATTTCATCCGTTTCCCAGAAGTAATTTTTATGGCCTGTGTTTTACTTCCTATCAATTGAGAGACATTTTTTCTCAAGTTTTGTTGACTGAAATGATCAATTCAGTTGATTCTTCAATTCCGCTGGCAGATTTAAAAGCTAACCCACAAAGATATAACCAACTATGAGAAAATGTTGCCAACTCAATACAGATTCCGAAATGGTATAACAAACGGGGTCATTCACAACAGCTTTTCAGAAAAATTTAATGACTTTTGAACCATCAACAATTGGATGATCACATATATACGGTTAGTTTGATTGCAAATTAACCCCTGTATATGTAAAACACGGGTTAATCAAAAGGTCAAAATAGGCAATATGCGCTCGTCTAATTGTTCTGTTCCATAGGGTCTTCAACAATGATTGAGAGCCCAGATTTCTATGCAACCATATAAGAATACGTTCGTATCTCTTTAACATGGGTGGAAAAGAGACGTCATATCAAAAACTGTCACTATCACGGTCATTGTTGAGGAGCCCTTATTATAGGTAATCTGATTTCTATGAATTGTTGACATCAACCATAATGTGCCAAACATATTTTTTGATTTTTTGTCACCTATCCATTCATATTTCAGATTCGTTTATATTGACCCTGACTCTAAGATTGCAAATATTATTTCATTTTGCCATTTTTACCCATAATATATTTCCCAAATGTGTTAAAATTCTTGGTATCATTTTAGACGGCAGTCCAGTCAGAATTCGCAGGTTGCCCTGCTCAGTTATAGAATCTGCCTGTTAATATTTTTTATTTGGTATTACTGGTATTTGACAATACGTGAGCCTTTTCCTCTCCGCACCCAGTCCGAAGTGGTCCGAAATAGTAGGAAATAAGTATACAGTAAGATGTCAAAATCAATTACAGGATTCTGTAGGCGTCGATACGGGGTGAGGGGCTTTCCAATTAGAACGCCAATGGATATTTTTGAGAAAATTGGTTGATGATCTACTGAATTGAATTCCGTATAGATGAAAGCATTTCTGTGATATTTTGCAAACAATGAACTCGAGGAAACTGATCCACTGCATTTTGTACCTATATACCTACAATTTCTATTGAATATCAATGAAATATATTTTGATATTTTCGAGAACTTTTGGAGGCCGGTATAGGTATAGTATCCTTCATTATGGAAAGTCACAAAATAGTTCAACTGTAAATAAATCTGAAACGACTTGTTATATACAAGAATGTTTTCTTCCAATACGGAATTTAATGAATAATTTAGTGTATTTCTGATCTTTTCAAAAATATCTATAGCAACCTCTATAGCGGCGCCTAAATATTTGATTCTATTATCTATTTTTGACTTCCATACTGTAAAATAGTGTAAACGAAATTCTTATTAAAAGAAAGGCCGTGTGTCAAATTCGAAAAGGATGAAGGCTCCTCGATCAACTTTATGAATCGATTTATAAAAATCTGGACTAATATCTGGTTTGAGATAGTTTCAAAGAAGACAGGACCTGATTGGCAAATACTTATTATATCTTTTCGAAAAATATCTTCACGAACAGCCGTTTATTGAGGTATTATATAGTATTTCACTTATGAATCATAACATTTCTGAGGCATATTTCTGATGGCGGCGAATGAAAAAAATTGGAGAAGTTCCCACCAACATAAGCTTCCTTTCAGGAATATTGCTTTGTTTTTAGGGTGTTGAAATTGAAAATAGTTTCCCAAATTATCTTCTCCACTTCGCACATCTTTCAACTTTTCGAAGGTTGATTTTCCAATTTCATAATAGTATTTTATAATAGTAAGTATATCGGGTGATATGCAAATAAATGGTCAATCAAAATTCCAGATTCCGGTCGCATCGCTAGGGATAAAAATGTTTATTCAACTGAATACGTTTTTGACGTATCTACACGATCGGTGATAATTTCTTAAACACCTTGTACAGTGCATTACATCAGGTCGGCGTATTAATTCAAATGTAATCGTTTCAGAGGTCACCTCAGTCGATGACATAATGTATATCGAGAAAAGTGAAACCAAATGGCGACTACGATAATGTAGAATTGACATGGACATATTTTATTTTATCCACACGGAGATTTGCTGACCCGAATTTCACTTTCGTTAAAGCACGTTGAGAATATTAAGTCATAGGTACCTATAATAAGAATGGGTGGACATGAATTATATCTTATAAATTAGTGATCCTACCTCATTTTTGATTCTTTTGGAAGGTATGGGGACCAATGGATAGCATTCACCCATACTCGTATGTGCGTATTATGTGATAATTCGGCGAGACAGGAGACATGCAATTCATCATTTAGATCGGTACCTAACCATAGAAGAAAGTAATAATAATTGTAGAGAATACGATCACAATTGTTTTTATGCAAGTAACGACATTCACAATACAAGGTGTTTTTGAAATAAGTGCACATATTCAGCACATTAATATGATACAGTGTATATAAGGAATATTCCCATACATACTGTCTGTAGGTTAATCGAGGAGGTGGTACATTCATTTTACTTGGTTCTTTGGGATTTTCTCTCCTCGTTTCTATAAAATAAAAGTATTCGTATATTATTTCAATATATTTGTAGAGGGACAAATCAGATGATTTGCCCCAAAATGTCACTGCGTTTAACAAATGTTTCTATCAGGGAGTCTAAAAGAAAAATCCAGTAGCTTGTCAGTGACAATTTGTTTGAAAAAATTTTTGAAGGAAAGAAATATAGATAGATATATTGAAAAAATATCGAATTTGTACTTATCTTTGGACGTTTCGGGACCGATTCTGCTCCCGTTCTCAACATGTAAATGCAAATTATTTTTCTTTGAAAGTTGTGCTGCGTATATAGTTTGACACTTTTCAGTGTCATACTGATGTTGGCATATGAATGAGTGATTTTAGTCTACAAATGAGTTACAGGATGTTTTCATTAATTGATCTTGAATCTACCATTTTCATGAAAATGCCGCATGGAAATTTGAATTGAGGTGACGTCAGATTTGCTACAGTGTAGAACTTTGGGTGGAAAATGAGGTCTAACCTCAAATTTCATTTTGATCCCAAAATTGTTTTTATATTTAGTGCTATTCAATAGTACACGTGGAGCTTTCTCAGTGTTTGAAATATTTGCACCTATTTCAATGCCACCCTGTATAAATGTTGTGGAAAAAGGAGTCTAACCTCAAATTTTCTTTTGATCGCTGATTTTTTTTTATTAGTGCCATTCGATAGTACACGTCGAGCTTTCTCAGTGTTTGAAATATTTGCACTTATTTCAATGCCACCCTGTATAGGGTGTGACGAAATTTAGTATCAAGATTTCAGATGCTTATTTTTCAGATTAAAAAGAGACTATTTTTTCTATAAACAAGTGTCTGCAAACGCACTTCGTTGCCAAGAGTTAACATTTCAAGATTTGTTTCTTTCTTCTTCATAGCTCTTTTAGTTTTCGTAATATTCAGATCAAATTCGAACAATAGGTTACGTAGGGCTCCCATTATACAGTATGCCGAGTGATTGTGAAAATCTACAGGAAGATTATTTTTGAGGGGTAAAGCCTCTTTTTGCGCCATAAACTTTTTTGTGGTGGGCTACTAATGGTAGATTTTGAATATACGAAATGGTTTCCTGGTTTTGTTTATAAAATGTTTCGTCTCCTGTGATTTTTACGCATCTGGGACCTTTTTCCAGAAAAAATGTTATTAAATTTATTATACAAGGGAAAAATTAACAGATTTTAGCTCGAGGTTGTGAGACAAAAAACCGTGAGATAAAATCTAATATTTTTCCCGTGTATTATACACTATTTTTTTCTGTGACAGGAAAAACGATGATTCAATATTGAGATTTTACACTATAATGAAATCAGAAAATTATCGATATGACATTTGAAGTTTTTAACAAGTGTACTACCTGATTTGCAGGCATCTTTTATTAGGCATCTTTATTGTTGCAATGAAAACCTTTTGAAGTAATCTGATATCTATCAATTTAGTCCTGTGTTTTGATCTCAAAAAAATGCGATTTCAGTGGTTTTGTTTAGTAATTTACGTAACCGCGAAGTGGAATGGAAGATAAAAAGGACTTTCAGTTCTTTCTTTAAGACGGAACTGGCACAACAAAAACCATCAATAGTGCATCTATATACACCGCGTGTCCCAGCTAAAATGTCCCCCCTGTAAAAAATCAACCGCGCAATCGAATGACTTGAAATTTGGTCACCCAGTATATTTGATGATGCTGACTCGAAATATGCTATTGAATACATCGTAGGTATACAGGGTCACACCGAAGTGCACCTCAACTGTCTTATTAGAATAGGAACACCCAGTATATTATTCCATATCCAAGTAAAGTTCATTATTACAAAGTCAAAAATGCTGGGTTTGATGTGATTTTTTCAAACGACTACAAAGATATGGCAAAAAATGAAACGATACAGACCCGTAAAGGATTATCTTTGCCATCGATTTGGAGAAAATCTAATAACCACCAATTGTCTCGATGGTGATAGCAACTAACCAGCTGGGTCGCCAGACCTCACCCACCATGAATTTTATTTGTGAGGCTACTTGAAACAACAGGTTTATGAGTCGCCAATTGTGGATATGGCAACGTGATACATAGGGTCACAATAAACGTTATCAACAGAGCTAGAAAATGTTTGCAGAAGAATGGACGACATATTGAGCAGTTGAGGTATTATAATCATTTTCTTTTAATTCGATTTCAATCGTGTTATATTAATCAAATCGAATCATATGAATCGTTCTATTTTTTGCCATATCTTCGTAGTCGTTTGGAAAAATCCCATCAAACCCGGCATTGTTGAATTTGTAATAATGAACTCTAATTGAATATGGAATAATATACTGGGTGTTCCTATTCAAATAGGAAAGTTAAGGTGCACTTCGGTAGTTCGGTGTGACCCTGTATACCTACGATTCATTCAATAGCATATTTCGAGTGAGCATCATCAAATACACTGGGTGACCAAATTTCAAGTCATTTGATCGCGCGGTTGATTTTTGACAAGGGGGGGGGGACATTTTAGCTGGGACACGGTGTATATCCGGAAAAAAACTACCCACTTTTTCCGTGGAAAAAAATTAATTTATGGAAAGTGCGATTTTGTAACCTGTCAACAGAGATGGAATGTCAAACTTTTTCACGTCACAGAAAAATATCACTTTTTATATTAAAAATTTTTAACAAAAGGGAGGAACCTATATATTATCACAATAAAAATGAATAAACGCTTCATATTTGGTTTGTGATCTTTATTAGAAGTTTCCAACCATTATCTAAGGAATGAGAAACCTATAACAAACCTTTTTATAAATGGTAAACTTTAACCCCCTGTAGATCGGTAGCATAGCGTTCGCGGACAGATTTTTATAGGAACAAAAAAAGTCTTATTTTGACCTGAAGAATGAGTCAATGAAATCTTGATCCTGTATATATCTTCGTTCATGGGATATACTTACTTACAGGTACTTTCGACCGAAATCATGAAAATCACCTACATTTAAAGATCACCGAATGAAGTATGTATAGGTACAGGTATAATTTGATGATTACTTACTTGTCGTTGAAGGTTCATTTGCTGTTCTGGCAGTTACAGTTGTACACCACTGGAAAAAATACCTTTGTATAGGTTTTATGCAACATAATCACAGATCACAGTGTTTTTGAATATATTGTTATTTTGTTTTTCTTGAAAAGTATAGTCTAACCAAAGTCAGTTGGAAAGCCTCGAGCAAGGAATATCTGCCTCCTGCACGGACTTCAAAAAATGAACTTCAAACGAACCGACACCGCCAGTGGTATGATTTCGACTCGAGACATTCCAGCTGAGTTTTTGGATATACTATACGAGGATCTTTTATACAGGGTGAGTCATGAGGAACTGTACATGCTCCTACTACGAATAGAGGCACCTGAGGAGAATACCAAATGACCACCAGAAAGTGTCTCCGCCTCTTCTAAAATAATCTATAGGGTGATTTATGGGATATGGCCAAAACTTCTTTCAATCATAACTTTCCAACAGTTCGTTCGATTCCTTTCATTTTTCCATGGATTATTATGCTGTCACTCAGCAATCAACTGACTTATTCAGAATCGTAAAAATCCAGGACCGGTCTTGGGAAATTCTGCCAATTTGGTTCATATCAAAAATTTCACCCTGTCTAAGGTTTTAGTAAACTGTGATATGGAATTTTTAAAGTTAATGAACAGGCAACCAAAATGAAGTATTTCAAATTTTCCTCACACTTTCATTGAATTTCTTAGAAAATGATTAATTTATACTACACGCGAAACTTGGGCAACAAATGTATTAATACTTCGCAATGCATGAATTTCACGAATAATAGTAAGGATAAAATTATTCCCAATTCTTCAGCTCAACAATAATCAACCTTATTCTATTTCCAGGGTTGGATTCAGTAATTTTTTGATAGAGGATAATAATCACCAAAAATTTCACCCTGTATTTCACCCTGTATATGATTTTAGTAAACTGTGTCATGAAATTTTTGAAGTTGAGAAACAAGCAACCATAATAGAGCATTCATACTGTTTTAATGAATTTCTTCAAATAATAAGATCAATTATTACCAAACACGAAACTTTAGCCAAAAAATTAATTAATTTTAAAATAAATACTTCACAACGCTTTAATTTCACGTATAAAAGGAAGATTTACATTAATTCCAATTCCTAATATCAATGATAATCAACATGACTATAATTTCCAGGGTTGTATTTCTTTTTTTTTGTGGAAAGTAATAATCATCCTATATGATGTTATAGTAGGTAATGTGATGGACGAATGTTATAGCTTGAATCATTTAAATATTCTGAGGTTTTTAATCGATTTGTTATAGAGATTCTGAATATTCCAGATTTCAGTTGATGACCCGTCTGTTGAAAGAAATTGCCTGGAAATTTCTTGTTTGGAATTTTCATAATATTGCGGATTTCTAAAGAACACTAAAAAAGTTCTGAGTCAATGGTTTTCAAGATTTGCACATACCATTATGATGATAAAATCATACAGTGTGACCATTTGTTTAATCTATGGTGTGACTAATGCTATTAGCGTCTACCAAAGAATTACTAAATCCAACCCTGGATATAGAAGAATGTTGATTTTCAGTGAGCTGAAGAATAGAAAATGATTTTATTCTTGCTTCTATTCGTGAGATTCTAGCGTTGCGAAGTATTCATTTTCAAATCAATACATTTGTTGCAAAAGTTTCGCGTGTAGTATAAATTATTCATTTTCTAAGAAATTCAATGAAAGTGTGAGGAAAATTTAAAATACTGCATTTTGATTGCCTGTTCATCAACTTTGAAAATTTCATATCACAGTTTACTAAAACCTTATACAGGGTGAAATTTTTTATATGAACCAAATTGGCAGAATTTCCCAAGACCGGTCCTGGATTTTTACGATTCTGAATACTAATAATAATAATAATAATAATAATAATAATAATAATCATTTATTATTTACCATTAACAAAAAATTAAATTCCTATGTGTTCAGGTCTAAACACTAATACAATAATAATGATATGGTAAATAAATGGTGCAATGTTAGGCCAAAGGCCGATTCTTCCACACTGCCCGATAAACTAAAAGAAATAAAGTGAGATAAATAAATAAGCCGCAAAGACCTCTAGAGAAATTAATAGTGATACAATATGAAATATTATGTCAAACTGACTACTGTTTATATCATCTTAGAAAACCAATGTGCCTGCCTTCCTATTGTGGAATACACAACAATAAAAAGAACGAGAGGAACAAAAAAAAAACAAAGAATGGAAGAAATCATAATTATCAATCATTGTTGCTCAAGTAATTGTTTTTTGAGTTTGTATTTAAAGGTATTCACCGACGATGCATGATGAGGAATATCCAAAATATGTCCATATTGAGAAATTTGATAGGAAAAAGAACGTTTGAAAATTTGCTTGTTATGGAAAGGTATTCTAATATTATTTTTTCGTCTCAAGCTTAAATTATGTATATCCGACCTAAAAGTAATTCTGTTATAAAGATATTGTGGGATTTTGGTCTTCAATAATTTATAATAGAAACAAATGGTATGTAATTTTCGTCTATTGAACATGTTTAGCCAGCCTGCATCCTTCAACTTACAAGAGATCCTTTGTCTTCTCTTTACACCATATATAAGACGAAGACATGAGTTCTGCACCTTTTGAATTCTTCGGGCATCGTAAGCATCCAAGCAGGAAGAGTAGATTATATCGCAATGGTTGAAATGGGACAACACGAGAGAATCACATAGCATTTTTTTTATAGTCACGTTCAAATATTCACGATGATTGAAAATGAGTTTGAGAGAGCCGTAAGCCAGGCGCAATTTGTTAGTGATGTGATTCTTGAATCTCAAGTTCGAATCAAGCGTCAAGCCCAAATTTTTGCAATGATTAGTGAAAGAAAGGACGTTGTTTCCTAAATGTAGTAACAATTGTTGCTCAATATTTGTTATTACTTTATTATTTCCAAATAGCATAGCAGTAGATTTATTAGAATTGATCTTCAACTTATGGTCCAATGAAGCAGTAAGAAGAGCTTTCAAATCATCGTTGACTCTGTGATTTATAAGTTGGATATCAGATGGTTCGAAAGAGTAGTATAATTGGGTATCGTCAGCGTAAAAATGGTGATTGCAATGCGATAGATATGTATGGAAATTCGATGTGTATAACGTGTACAACAAAGGTCCCAATATACTACCCTGAGGAACTCCTTGTTCAAGTTCAGCAGCATTGGAAATATTGTTATATAATTTGACTTGCTGAGTACGGTGGCTGAGGTAAGAGGCTATCAGATCCTTAGCAGACAGACTGAAACCTACAAAATGTAATATTGCCAATAAGATTGCGTGGTTCAGCGCATCAAATGCCTTAGAAAAGTCAATGAGTATGAGTACACTGATTTTATTATTATCATAGGCATATAGGATGTCATCGATCACAGCAGTTAGTGCTGAAGCACAGCTATACCCCGCTCTGAATCCAGACTGATGTATGGGTAGAACCGGTCCTGGATTTTTACGATTCTGAATACTTCAGTTGATTGCTGAGTGACAGCATAATATTCCATAAAAAAATGAAAGGAATCGAACGAACTGTTGGAAACTTATGATTGAAAGAAGTTTTGGCCATATCCTATAAATCACCCTATAGATTATTTTAGAAGAGGCGGAGGCACTTTCTGATGGTCATTTGGTATTCCCCTCAGGTGCCTCTATTCGTAGTAGGAGCATGTACAGTTCCTCATGACTCACCCTGTATTATACAAGGATCACTTTGGAAGAATGAGAAATATGCATGATACTAATTTTTTTTAATAAAATGGTCATGTCTTAGACGTATAGGTTTTCTGATGTGTACTTAGGTACCTACCCAAACTGTGTTTAGGTATGTGAGTGGAGTGTGCAACAGTATTATTAATTGTGTGATTTTACAGATGTCACATATTGAAATTTCATTGTTCAACACACATAAAAATATGTTTCTTAATGAACATTTGTTATTTTCCTTATCTGATGAAAGAGGGCTGGAGAGTTTTTCATACAACCATCCTTTATAGGACATCCATAACTTATAGTGGAAGTGATATACGTAAACCAGGGAAAGTAGAAGTTTACATTACCTCTACACATAAAACAATTTGATGTTGACTATTTAAGAGTCATAGAAAAAGGGCATGTTCCGAAGTGTTCTCCTTCATCATCAATCGATAATTTCTTGTATATATTATATTACTTGATTATATACTCAGACTGCTATAATACTTAGGTATTTTATTATTATTGGAATAAAATTTTATGTATTATCGATAAGTAGTAAGTAAGAAAGTAGTTATACTCACCAAAATACAGGCTAGGAGTAGTTTGATGTGAGCTGGAGTGACAGTGCTATGGTTCATGTTGATGATCTGAAAAATAAAGAAATATTTTTCAATGCATGTCCATCAGGAGCCACGACATTTTGATATCAATATTAGTACTTCTGAAAAGCAAATGATGCCATACTGATGATGTTATTAACTAAAAGAAATAATAGATTTGTGCATATTTATTGTTTCAAGTTAAACTTTACACTTATTGTGTAAAATGTGAAAGCATAGTTATAAGCAGTGGAACAATATTTGCGCCCAGAGAAAGGCTTTAATAAGATCTTAAATAATATCTCAAGAATATGCAGGTCATCCAAACCTACCCAGAGTGAATGGTGGCCTACCTAGTTCATAAGAAATTCTGAACCAAACTATCAATAGTGATGGAGTGATCCAATTGTCCAATTATATGAACTATGTATATTAAATATGGCACCCATGTTTAGAAAAGATGAAGAAATGCATGAATTCCAGAATGTATAGGGAATATAGGAACTATGGCCTAAATATAGGATATTTATATCCCATATGTATAAATGAATTTATACCCAGTACTTCCATTCCCGACTTCCATTCTAGTTTTATATGTGAAAAATTCACGAACGATATAAGATTTCCACAAAAATCTTTCACACACCAGACATGTTTCGCTTATACAGTAGCTTCATCAGGTGATATACTGGTACAATGAACTAAACTAACCTTGGCTCGCCTAACTTTTATTTATCCTACTTTCCCAACCTGAAGGTTCGATAAACCTCTATTTTTGGAATATTATTACCTACTAAGGAAACAAATTCAACAGTGGTGAACTATTGAGGTCTAGTTGATCGTTAAGTATAATGTCAGAATTTTTTAGTTTGTTGATTTCTAATGATTCAAAATGATTGAGTCAACTGTGGATCTTGTCCTAAGGTGTAAATCGGTCAGACAGGTCGTACGTTTAATCAGCGCATTCATGAACATGAGATGCATTTTCTGAATAAGAAAACAAATTCAACATACGCCAACCATATATTAGAGAGAACCATAGTTTTGATGATAATTTCGACATTCTACACGTTGAAAATAGGGGAAAGGAACCCAATAATTTTGAATCATTAGAAATCAACAAACTCAAAAAGTCTGACATTTTACTTAACGATCAACTATACCTCAATATTTTAGTACTGTTGAATTTCTTTTTTTAGTAGATAATAATATGCCTAATTTCTGGAAATGAAGGTTCATCGAACCAGTCCACAGGTAACTAATCCTCCATGTTAGGAAACTAGGATATATAAATGTTTGGCAAGCCAAGGTTAGTTTAGTTCATTGTACCAGTACATCACCTCTGATGAAGCTACTATGTTGGCGAAACATGTCGTGCATGTGTTCGAGAATTTTGTGGAAATCTTATCGTTTGTGAAGTTTTTACATTTGCCATGGATTTCCATCAAGTATAACTGCATAGTCAATTCAAAACTAAATTTTTATATTATGTGACATAATTTCAATGTTTAATGTAGGAATAAACATCAAAATTAAAAGAGAATTCTTGGTTCAGAATGATATATTTGTTCACCCTCTGTATAATTCTCGTATAAAAAACACATTCTTGTTCTAAAAGAATTTATTTGAATCGAGTTCATCGAATATTTCAAATGTAGAAAATACTTTATGTGGAATATCCATTTGACTTTATTTAAATGATTTTGGAGTGTGACACTGTATGGGCTCTGCCCCCATAGCAAATTCTCTTGCCCCCATGGTTCCGGCGGGTTCAATACTGCGATGGATGTACACCATGCTAGTGAGACCAATGATCACCTACGGAGCAGTAGTGTGGCAAGGCAGAACCGAACTCGCCACTACAAGGAAAATATTAGAGAAGGTGCAAAGATTGGCATATCTTTGCATAACAGGAGCAATGAGATCAGCTCCAACAACAGCACTAGAGGTCATTTTGGATCTCACACCTCTACACATCGTGGTGAGGAGAACTGCCTATGGAGCACATCTCAGGTTAGCCAAGATCGGACTAAGAGGGAAAAAGCACAGTGCAAGGGGCTCACCCCCACTGAGATCGCACACCTCGCCGATCTCCCAACAGACCAAATTATTAGGAAGTTCAGTTCTGAGAAGAACTTCCGAGTGGAGCTGAGCAACAAGCGCGAATGGAGCATAGAATCCATCGAATCACTAGGAAAAAACACCATTACTTGGTATACGAACGGGTCTAAAACACCCGAGGGAACTGGAGCAGGAGTCTTTGGGCCTCGCACCAAATACTTCGAATCCATGGGACAATTCCCCAGCATTTTTCATGCGGAAATACACGCCATAGAAAGATGCATCCAGTTCAACCTAGACAGGAAATACCGGAAGAAGGACATTGCGATTTTATCCGATAGCCAAGCAGCCATCACAGCGTTGAGCTCTTCTTACATCAACTCGAATATGGTATGGGAATGCCTAAGCAAATTGAATGAGCTAGGCAGCGACAATAAAGTGATCCTCCTCTGGGTGCCAGGGCATATTGGAGTAGAGGGGAATGAACAAGCAGACACTCTGGCACGACAAGGGGCTTCAACGCCACTGATCGGACCAGAGCCATTCTGCGGCCTTGGACATTCCTATTTCCAAGGAGATCCTGAGAAGGCGGAAGGAGCCTGGAGAGCCAGACAATGGAGAAGACTTCCAGGACTACGGCAGGCTGAAGATCTCCTTGGAAATTTCAACCGAGAAAGATCTAAGACACTGACAAACCTCAGCAAAAGAAGTCTCAAAGCAATAACGGGTTTTTTAACGGGGCATTGCAGACTCAAAGAACACCTAAGGAAGCTAGGCTTACAGGAGGACGGCACCTGCAGATTCTGTGAGGAAGAACCCAGAAACACCCCATCACATACTGATGGAGTGTGACGCTGTACATCACAAAAGATTGAACATACTTGGAACACACCAGCTGACTGTGGAAGAAATACCACAGCTGGACCCCCTCAAAATCCTCAAATTCCTGAAGGAATTGAATCTCAAGGGGCTGCTATAAACAAGAAATCCTTGATATAGCATCAGAAGCACATGGGGCACAATAGATCTAATTAGGTCGCAGCGCATCTGTCACCATCCAACCTACCAATACCAATACCAATACCAATACCAAAGGTTCCGGCGCCCCTGCATTTATATACAGCCTGTATAAACAAGCGAAACTCAACAATCCAATAAGGTAATCCGGAGTAATCCTTGTGTGTCTTCTGCATGTCCGGGGATTATTCATTGTTCTCTATATACTGGTTTTCTATAAAGGCTTATCGACTTAACAATAATGATACTTGTATGTAGCATATACTTAAAACAGTTTATATGTTCTCTTTATTTCTTCTATTCCCTATTATTTCCATCATGCTCAATGCTCGAGGAAACGTTGAAACGTTCCATGGCCGAACAATCATGGGAACCGATATGCAAATATCAAGTGTAAATAGTTCATTGCCATTTGCCATGTGCAGTAAGATGCCCTTATACAGAACGTGGAGGTTAACGAAATTTCGATGACTTATTCACAGAGCGCATATAATACTGTGTGATCCATTTATATTTCGAAAATATAAATGATAATTCATAGATATATTGAGGACATTGATTACTATACAGTGTGTCAATTTGAAGAACTTTCCATCATCACTAATCTCCTCGTTAATCTCGTCTTTAATGACCTCCTTCCAGTAAATAATATGAAAAATCGAAAAGAAACGTCGATTTTTTCCAAGCGGGACACTTTGAAAGGATATTTCTAGCCCTTATAGTTCAGCTCCGCAGGTGGGGTAGATATATAATATTAATAAAATAAATTTTTAGAACTGTACAATATTGACATACATTTTTTATAAGTGGATAATATGGACTGAAAATAAATGGCGAAGTTCAACTCATATAGTAGGCTATTGCCTTGTTCTTCCACTCAACCTTCAAAGGTCTCAAAAATCAGATTGGAGCTAACTTAACTTGAACAACATCCTTTTATGATATTATTAGATTTTTTCACTGAGGAGGGTCTTAGAAATTGTTCAGATCTGATTTTCACTCATCTTTAGCTTGAGACTGGTTTTGAATTTTGACAATTTTAGGGATTTCATATGGGTAGGAATATAGTTATTGTATACATTGCAAATTTGGTAACTGAACGAGCGTTTGAAAAATTCAGTTTTGAATTGAGGCGGCGTTAGAAGTCCTTTGAACCGTACATTGATTTTATGTACATCAGTTCTGAATTTCAATTTATTATACAGGTAGGGGGGACATTTGGTGATGATAATTTTGTGATAGAGACAGGACGAGTGCAGTTGCCTTCTATTTTCCATGTTCAACCAGCCAGATTCTTTAAGTAGGTATATAAGATATTCTTTCTCGTTTTCTTATACCATGTATCAGACGCAGACAAGAGTTCTGTACTTTCTGTATTTTTTGTTTGAATTGACTGGTTAAATTCGGTCCATAAAGGCAATCCGCATAGTTGAACAGGGACGCATATTTTTATTTTGAGTTTCACAGATAGCAAATGTCTATTACTATAAATGTGCTTAATTGTGGAGTATGCTCTTTGGACAAGTTTATTAATGAATCTCTCAAATCTGAGCTCACTGTCGATAATACCACCAAGACGCTTTGCTTCATCTAAAATAATCATAGGAGTAACTTCTATGATGATATTAACTGCATTTTTCATAATAGATTGGTATTTTTTGGGACCAAATGTAATTATGTTAGATTTGCTTGCATTTATAATGAGACAGTGATCCCTCGCCATATCAATAAAAGACCCTAGATCTTCATTAATCATGGCACAAGCATCATCTATCGCAGAGTATGGAAAGGAGTAATACAGCTGGGTATCATCAGCATAAAAATGGAATTTACAATATTTTAAACTCCTCAATATGTGTGTGATGTAAATATTGAAAAGCAGTGGACCCAAAATAGAACCTTGCGCTACTCCAGACTTGAGATCCACATAGTTTGACCCTTCTTGAAGTCGTACTTTCTGTCGTCTATTCCTGAGGTAGCTCTCTAGTAATGAAACTGTATTTTCAGAAAGACCAATATTGTGTAATTGTGCAATAGTTCGTAATTCAATGTGTCAAACGTTCTACTGAAGTCTAACATTATCAAAATTGTACATAACCCTTGATCAGTAGCTTGAATGATATCAACGACGATCTGAAGAAGTACAGCTATAACCGCTCCTAGAGCCAGATGGCATCATTGGAATCAATGAGTGATCGCTTAAATATGTTCTCAACTGACAATCAATAGCTTTTTCTGAAATTTTAGATAGTGTAGGTAATATGCTAATGGCTCTAAGATCTTTATATTCAATGGGATTTGTTTTCATATATATATATAGATATGTTTCTCTTAGAATCCTGAAGGGGAAGGTGGTCAAGTGGCACAGAATTTTAATGGGCGTATATGAGTTGCTCGTCTATGCTAACATTGAAATCTCCAACTAGTTTCCTTGGGGTTTTTGATAATGAGCCAAAACTATATGTTAGTGAGCAGTTTCCGCGTTCTAAACTTACAAAAGTAATTATAGAACTTGCCGGGACTGCGACAGTAACTATGATTTTCAGGTGAATATTCGAACAAAAAAAGAATGATTCAGAAGAGTGAAAGATTAGGAGACACCTTTCCAATTCATTATCCCTCAGGAGTCAAGTAAATGATAGGGCTGATTACAGTGAGTCACAATAATATCAGTATTTCATTTAGAAAAAATGTCGTATATACTCCGTTACGGAGTTATTGTACTTGAAAGTTTGAATTAAAAGAATAAGTATATGCCTACTTATTTCATCTAGTATTTCATGGATAACTTTCAAACGGTTGGCATGGCATCAATGATATTCGGGCAACTAAATTAACTCATACTATAATGCTAGTTTCAATATGTAAATGGCTGTTCACTGATTATGTTTTATACAGGATGGGACGATTTTTTGCCTGTTTGGTGGAGGCATTTTTGACAGAGGTGACAAATTTGACATTGTGCTTCCACCATTTGATTCCTCCATCTGTTTTCTACAAAAATACTATAGGTACATTATTTTAATATATTTCTTGTACCGTTCTAGAGAAAATCGCATCCCAACCGTTTCAAAAGTAATGAGAACTGTATGTATTCGATGACATCATGGTTGTTGCGATAGACATATTTTACATGAAGTAATAACATTATTTGAACACACTCTATCAGCTCTATCATTTACGACATGACCTTTCCGGACACCCCGTATATCACTCTTTAACTTGTCGTGGATGGTATCCTCTTGACTCTCGAGTTTTCAATCTTCCCAGTCAGCCTCTCTTGGCAAAAACTCTCCTTTTCTCCTAATCCAAATTGTTAGAATAAATAGCACCGAGGTTACGACGTCGATAACGGGACCTCTGGGAAACAGGGTGACATATGACAGCCTCAAACCTGTGCAGGGGCATCACAGGGTTGGACCAACCCATTCCCCCACTACTCATAGGAAAAGGAAAACTTTTGGCCTTCCTCATGGAGGAGATCAGAAGAGTGGTCCTGAAACCTGAACGTAAAAGGGTCTTTCTAACGAACCTCTGGAACTGTGCATGACCGGCAGCGCTTTCAGTTACTGCAGAGATTATGTGTATAATCTCTGGTTACTGTGTCATGATATTTGAAGTGGCGCAAATAATTATATGAACCCGAGTATGAACCCATGGGTCGCATAAATGGTAAAATAACGGTATGTATTCGAGGTAAGATATACAATGTGCTAACATGCCTATAATTGATGCAAATGGGGACTTTGGTAATATACGAGCCTCCGAAGGGATTGGAGTGTTTAGAGGGTATATACACCTACATATAAGGGACTGGTCCTTCGTGGTGTCTATAAAGGATTTCGGCTATATCCACAAAAAAAACATTCATCAGGGGCAACATGAGTCATTAGCCTCTTTCCAATTGCCACAATGGGTAGTACCTATAAATAAATCAAGTACAAAATGAATTCATTACATTTTGCATGAGTGATTTAATAGATGGCAATTCCTAGACAAATCAGTATGACATGATTTTAACAACGTATAAATGAGTTGAGAATTCAAGACTTGAAATGATAATAAAGCTATAGATAATTTTTCGTTTTGAGACAATTTCTTGTGCTTTTTGAACTGCATAATTTTTCTTAGTGCATCATGTGATCGTCTCAGAATTATTGGAAATACTTTTTGAAATGAAAAGCGCAGCAATAGGTACCTACAAATCTCGAACCTTTCATGAAGAAAATAAAAGGAATGGTGAAATAATTACATAAAATTAATTGAGTATAGGTAGTAGGCGAAACAAGCTGAAGGTCGCATGGTTGAATCACCAAAATGAAATCAGTTAAATTAGGTAACAACTCTGTGAAGTGAATGAACAACAAAATAATATTTTATATTCCACATCTCAAAAACAACAAATTCATAGCAGTCTAGATACCTATCTGAAATTGTATTTGTATATAACTTCAATAACCTGAAGGAAGCATGTGTCCTTCTCATTATCAAAAACCCCTAGAAAACCAGTTGGAGATTTCAATGCTAGCACAGACAAGCACCTTAGGTAAATACATTTTTACGTAGAGGTCAACTCAGCTACGGGTCCGAAAACAATCAGCGCATGCGCAAGCCATAAATTCAGGACTTTTTTGTCTGCCAGGATACAGGATGTCACGGAACATCCATGACTTTACGATTACACTCACCTTTGGGGACGTGACGTATCAGAACACAAAATACGTCAAGCAGTAGAATCACATCCAAGCAGTGAATCACAAAAGCACTAATACTTTTCAACTATCGCATCCGAATGTAACGAATATCTACGAAAAAGAATAATGCATAATCAACATGTTGCCGAAGACTTTTTTGCTCGTTCTTTCAGCACTCACAGCCACCTTCGTAATCTCGCCGCCAACTGCGATCCTTCTACGAAAGGAAAAGTTGTTGAATCAAGTAAGCACTTGAACAGTGGGCGATCTGGTAGGTTGTCAGCGTTGTCACTGAACTTGAGGTTCGGTGTTGGTCGGGTGTGGTCGGGTGGTAACGAAAGAAAAAGTCCGTGGTTTACCACAAGCCAGAAGATGATGATGATAACGATGGGATGAAATCACGTAACCAAGAATAACGCGCCGAGGATTATTTCAACAAATATTTGGAAGGCCTTGATGGTATAAGTGTCACCCAACTTATATCTTTACCTTTAGGTTTACCGACAGAGGACCTAAGTAACTAAAATACCTATTTATCATTTTCTAGATCGAGAAATAACTAATGGACTAATGTGTGAAGAGTGAGATGAGGTATATATTTATACAGGGTGTCCCAGAACATCGTACATTAAATTCAACAGGCTGAACTAGAGTTCAAAATAGGTCGATTGGGACCAACTCACCTCTAAACGAAAATGCACCGTTGGTCGTGAGAGGGCTATGAATGAATTTTCTTTTTCAGATTTTATTGAATATTTCAATATCCTTGAGAGGCAATACTCCGAAATTCAGGAGGCTATAAGAAGTGTGCATATAGATAACAGGTCTCATCAGTTCAATCAATATACAGGGAGATACAAATTTAGCATTCTGATTGGAGAAAAATCAAATATAGAACTTTTTTTGAGTTCGCTACTGACTATATTTTAATATTTTCTTGAATAAAAAAAAATCATTTATCTATTTCCTCACTAATTTTTATTTTTTGAATATTGCTTGGTTCACGAGATATCTGACAATAGTTATTTGTTTAACTAGGCAGCAAAGTAGTGGATTGACTGCCGTGGCTGAATTCATAGCCGAGCGTAGCGAGGCTAGGAATCCAGCTAAGGCAGTCAATCTACTTTGCTGCCGAGTTGAACATATAATTTTTCCTTCGATTGTTCATAATGATATGGGAGAATATTGTATTCGCGAATTAATACAATTCCCACAATCTCTTTATTCTTCCTGTATAGTGTTCAATTAAAATAAAATTTTATAGAAATCGCAGTTGTTGGTTTGACAATTCATGAAATTTCTGACTGTTGTGCGAAAAAATATCGGTATATTCAAATTATTATATAATGGACAGTGATAGCGACCTGGAAGTATACTTACACCTCCATTAATAAGGGAGGTGGCAAAAAATATAGAGTTGAATTTGTTGCCGGAGGAGTCTCGGATGAAATGTGAAGGAAATTATAAACGATTTATGGATTTTTAATTTTGCTGATACATATCAATCAGCAAAGTAACCACTTTGCTGCCTAGGCAGCAAAGTACCCACTTTGCTGCCTAGGCAGGAAAAGTAATACTTTGCTGATTGATATGTGTCAGCAAAATTAATATTTGCTGCCAATCGGAGGAAAAAATCATTTATCTGCAAACGACTTTTATTGTTAGCAGGAGGTGCAAACTAAAATCGACCGATTTGAGCATTTTTCCGTATCTATGCCATTATCACCCAAAATCTATCTGTCGAGTTGAAAATGGGCCATCTTGTATGAAGAAAAGGTTATTAAATAATGAACATGAAAACGTGACCAAAATATCAACATGAAGGAGGAAGAAACCTGCAGAACACGATAATTCTGATATCTTGGACGATGGATGATATATATGGAAGGGCTCCAAAATGATTTTTGTCAGATATCTCGTGTGCAGAATAAAATGTGGTGAGAAAAAAGATAGATGATTGATTTTATTATTCGAGTAGATATCAAAATATGGTCAGTGGCGTACTCAAAAGAAGTTCTATGGATTTTCTCCAATCAGAATGCAATATTTGTATCTCCCTGTATACAGATTGAACCGATGAGACCTGTTATCTTCTTATAAATGACTGCCTCCTGAATTTCGGAGCATCACCTCTCAGGAATATTGAAATATTCAATAAAATCTGAAAAAAAAAATTCATTCATTGCCCTCGCACGGCCCAACAGTGCATTTTCGTTGTTCTGAGACACCCTTTATACATACATATACCTTGTTATCGAAACATGATTCAGATAAAAAATGTTAATCACTATATAATATAATATAATAAATATATAGAGGAAGATATAAATTTGATATGATTACGGTGATATATATTAGGTATATTTTTAAACAAGTTTTGCATTTTGCAATTTATCTTTTCCTTTTCAGAAACAGTTTTCACTTGTTTTCACTTCGAATCCAATACTACACTCAGTGTCAATATTATGTATATTGCTAGCTCTATTTGTAGAATTTCTACTGATGTAGGTACACTCGTCCTTAGAGATCATGTCGCACATGGACGGTGTCAGCTCCCATCATGATCACCGCTGCAATAAGAGCGCTCATATATCGTCCAACCGCGACATGTTAGCTGAAGATGAGTGTACCTAGTTCTAGTTGCATCAACGTCCGGACTTTCATTCTGAATCGATCCTGTTAGATCTATTAATATGTCTCTGAAGCACTTTGACCACTATAGATACACTTTCATCAAAAATAAATATCATGATTGAGATGATTCACACATCAGGTACTACACATACACATACTATACATTTACTATTATTCACGAAAAAGTTCTCGCTCTAAAAGATAAAAGATATATAATGACACAACTTAGTGTGTTTTTGAACAGAGAGAGGGAAATGACCCAAAAGGTTATTGACTGAAGTTCTCCATGCAGCCTGTTTTGAACAGCATTACGAATATCATTCAACCAAGATTCAACGAGATAATCGTATTTGGCGGTATTCAAAAAGCGCATCCGCCCAAAAATAGGACCACCAATGAGATAGATACTTGGATAGGTATCAAAAGTTGGAAAAAATTTATGAAACCAGAAATTGCCAACAGAAATGAGTTGACTAATGGTGCCATTCTGTAATCCCAGTTTACAGCGCAATACATTTATATTACTATAGACTTACATAGTATACAGGGTGTCCCATAATTAGCGTGCAATATTTCACCAGCAGATTTTACGATCAAGAATAGACATAGGTCGAATGAAGTTTCATTAGCGAGCTACATCCCTCTAAAGGTGGTACCCTGAAATGATTTTCATTTAATATCTTCGAAACAGTTTATAGCCAGGGACGTCCGCAGAAATATTATCAGGGGGAGACAAGCCACAATAAATAATGTACATTATTCAGAACATATAGAAAAAAATTGTTTTTGCACGACCTATAAGCGATTTTACACCGACAAAAGCGGGAATACAGGGTATACACAGTAGGCACTCTCTAGGCCTGAAATTTTTCCTGGATTTTTCTGGCAATAAATCTACCACAATGTTTGCAGCAGCTTCTCCAATAGTTTTTCCACAAATTACTGCAATATTTATTGAAAAAACTTCGGAAAGCAATTAAGAAAATATGCTACCACACTTTTTCGATTTTCACAAAAAGCAATATGGCTACTCTTCTTTATCGGTAGTCATGATAATCAAACTTCATTTTGTGATTATTGTATTCAGATTTTCATTATCATATTGACAATAATTGATTTTATCATAAGATTCTTTCAATTAAAATCGCCGAGTCGTGCAAAAATGGTATATAAACCTCGGAGGTGAGTTCTTTCTTCCCTCAGTGCATTGTAGTACCCTCTGGCTACAAAACCACCTCTGGAAAAATCATGCACTTTACTCTCTCGATATATAATCTAATCTACAATTATTCTACATAAAACATGGAATAAAAAAAATGATATTAATTGAATTGACATCACATAGGTATGCTGTTTGCAAAATTACAATAAAAAATTGCACGTGATGATAATCATAATCTTGTTCAAACACAAATGACATTCTTATAGAGTCTTGAGCAAATTCAACAATAACTTCGTTGATAAAATCACCTCTTTATATATCAATAAGATGTCGATGAATACTAATTAAACAAACCTGGTGGTGCAATGGTTTCGCACCAGTTTTGCACCCGCACAACGTTAGTTCTCTCCAAAATGTGAACTGGTGCATTCCCAATGGAATACGGAATAATATTAATAAAATTTTGTTGGAGCTTAAATCGGATGAATTGGTTTGTCTTCTTTTATAACTTGCCGGCATCCTGAAATTCTTTCTCGACTTCAATTGAAAACAACGTACAATTTTTAGCACTTTTTTTAATAAGTAGCTCTTAATCATTGAATTAGTGCAAAACACTCAGATTAGATTAGATTAGATTTAGAATGGGGCCTTCGGGCTATCTGCCTCCACACCGCGACCTTTTCAGATCTATTGTGTCTGCCCTCAAAATCGATTAGAGTTCTTCGGCTAGCCCCGTCTTCTCTATGAGACTCCATAGGCTAGCTTTCAGATCCCCTGTGTATCTCTGGGCTTCTGGTTTTTCCTCACCCAGCGTAAGGAACCTTAGTCTTGACAAGCCCTCACAGTGGCAAAGTATGTGTACTGCTGTTTCCTCCTCTTCCTGACAGAACCTGCACAGCAGTTCTTCAGTCAGACCTATCGTACTCATGTGTTTGTTGAGCCTACAATGCCCTGTGAGAAGTCTCACTAGTATTCTAGTTGAACTTCGTTTCTGGCTTAGTAGATATTCTGTGAATGTTGGCGATGGTTTTTTAATAATAGTTATTTGTTTAACTAGGCAGCAAAGTAGTAGATTGACTGCCGTGGCTGAATTCATAGCCGAGCGTAGCGAGGCTAGGAATCCAGCAAAGGCAGTCAATCTACTGTGCTGCCGAGTTGAACATATGATTTTTTCTCCGATTGTTCATAATGATATGGGAGAATATTATGTTTGCGAATTAATACAATTCCCACAATCTCTTTATTCTTCCTGTATAGTGTTCAATTAAAATAAAATTTGATAGAAATCGTAGTTGTTGGTTTGACAATTCATGAAATTTTTGACAGTTGTGCGAAACAATATCGGTATATTTAAATTATTATATAATGGACAGTGATAGCGACCTGGAAGTATACTTTTACACCTCCATTAATAAGGGAGGTGGCAAAAAATATAGAGTTGAATTTGTTGCCGGAGAAGTCTCGGATGAAATATAAAGGAAATCATAAACGATTTATGGATTTTCAATTTTGCTGATACATATCAATCAGCAAAGTGGGTACTTTGCTGCCTAGGCAGCAAAGTACCCACTTTGCTGCCTAGGCAGGAAAAGTAATACTTTGCTGATTGATATGTGTCAGCAAAATTAATATTTGCTGCCAATCGGAGGAAAACTCTTTTGCCTGTCTCATTCCTGGCGATTTGTTCCACCATTCTTGAGATTTGGTTTGCATCCATGATTTGATACTATAGTCTTTTGTATAGCTTTCGCAATACCACAGAAGGGTTCTGGGCCATTCAGAGCTTTGTTTGCTCCTGCTCGGGCAAGTGAGTCTGCCTCTTCATTGCCCTCGTACCCTGTATGTGCTGGTACCCATGCTAGAGTCAGTCTGTTCTGACTGCCCAGTGCATTTAGGGTTTCTAAGCAGTCCCATACTAGATAACACTCAACAAAATTATGAATTCCGGGAAGTTATCTCCTTCATTTTCTTGAAACCTCCAACTTGATGATGATTAGATTGCCACTCAATTTCTGTTTTAAAACTATACATATTCAATGTTTCCGCCATTTTCAAAACTGCGCTGACTTCGCACGACCTAGTAGATCTCGTGCGAGAATTGTTGCACTGAGCTTTAAACTATGTGAACCAGTTTTCCAATGGAAATTAAAACCCAACACCAGTTTCACCAATGGAATACAAAATATGCACTCAGTGCGAGACAGTTTTACCAATGGGATTCGCTATAACTTTACATTTGTTCTTCATGCTTTCGAACCTGCATATGCAAAAAATAACAGGATAGGCTTAATTTTTGTTCATTTTCAGCTTCGGAAAAATAGTGAATTCAAATTTACTGCAAATTGTGGAACGTTCAATAGCTCCAGTAGGTAGGAAATTATGATTTGAAAGAAATAACAAAAATACTATCTTATGTTGAGCTCACCGGTTCCAAGTAAATAATTTGTACTTTCGCAAAAATGCTGTTTTTTCGAAACCCTTCATAGGATTCATATAGGATTCCACATACAGGGGTGTGAATTCATGAAGAACAATATCACGAGGTCAGTTTTCCTGTGAAAAACATTCTAAAACGATTTCATAAAAAAATCACCCATTTTCACTGTCCAAAATGATGTATATCTACGAAAAACTGATCATATTGATGGTGATTTATACCGGTACTAATTTGGTAAAGATCGCACGACTAATAGCGGAGATATAGAGGAGGGGCGTTTGAAATGACACACGCTGTAGTAGATTTGTTAATGATGAATAATTTTCCATGAAACTTGGCGCAGACCTATTTCAGAGGACACTAATTCAAGTGACGTACTTGGATTTTTTATAAAAAAAATATGGATTCTGTTTTTTTTTAGCCTCTGAATGTGATCTAGTAGGCCTAGGATTTTGAAAAAAGTGGACGCCGCTGAGCTCCAAAATATAACTTTTCTCCCTCTACATTTAAACAAAAATCGTGCCCGCTTTCAAATGGGTCATTCTGTATGAAAGTGGGATAATCGTATTTGGCGGCTTTCCAAAATCGCCTCCGCCCATATGGTGGAAAATAGCACCACCAATGAGACATCAAAGATGGGAAAAATACTGTCCTTCGAGTCATTCACTGTATCCGAGATGCCAATAATGGTACGACATGAAAAATAGGGTCATTAATATAAATAACTCAAATACAATAATATACATTACATAAAATAATTAAAATGGAATATCCATAAAAATTTATGCATTTGTGAAAAAATATTCGAATTGATATTCGTTAGATGAGTTGAACATTTTTTGAAAACTTTAATTGAAATACAAAAACAATGAGAATAAAATTCCTATCACTCTGAAAGGACAGTGATAAGTTGTGATGGGTAAAACTTATAATATCTCTCGGAATAATCAGATCGATTGGCAATTCCTAATTATGGCTCGGCCATTCCAATACAGAATGCTGTGGGCAGAGCTGGGCCGGGTACTGATAAATTGTACTCGAGTACCGGGTACCGGGTACTGTTTATAATTGAAGAACGAGTACAGAGTACCGAGTACCCCACTCATTGGATGTACTCAGAGTAAAGTACTCCGAGTACAAGTACCCGAATTTCACGGGTACTCATTTCAAGTACATTTGAATAGAGAATTGAGAAATTTTGCATCAGTATTAGTTATTATTATAAATGATAATATCAACAACTTCAACAATTGTCTTTTTCAAATTATAAAATTGACCCATTCATTTCTTATTCATTACTAATACGTAAATTAAAGCAAAAATCAAAATATTATTGCAAAATACTATACCCTTACCTCTTAGTTTAGTGTGGTTTAGTCTTAAGAAAACAACAGAAACGATACAAAAAACACTTGACTCTATAACTGTTACACAGTGTACAAAACGAAAACCCCGCCTTTGGTTCTGATTGAAGTGCTGACTGATAATGATGATATAACATATAACAGCGGTTTCCCGTGTTGCACTCGCATATGCACAGACAAGTTTATTCTTGCAAAAAGTACCCGGAAAATGTACTCGTTTAATAAACGCGGGTACCGGGTACTTTTCCCGAAATGCTACGGGTACGAGTACCGGGTACTTTATTGAAAATGTACTCGGGTACTGGGTACTGAGTACACAAAATGTACTCAGAGTACAATATTTGAGTACTTGTACTCGAGTACTGCCCAGCTCTGGCTGTGGGTTGTTATATTCACGACTGATCATCAATAATTATACAGGACTTTTTCTATTCTATTCAAAAAATCATTAAATTCAAATAACAAAAGTACCGTTTGTCCTATTACCTTAAATATTCAAGGTATGGCGATTTTCGGATAATTTTTTTACAATTCACAGTTTTGAAGCTTTTTGCATGAAAATATGGATGTATATTTCGAAATGTCTGAATGATATTTATAATAAATAAACTATACTCCATATATGAAGAAGACATTGAAGACATCTTTGCGATAGGAGAATGAGAGCGTCGCTTGAAAACGTTCAATAATAGGAATAAGAGACAAATATACCATACCATGCATACTTACTCTTTACTGTATCAATTATAAACTCCACTAATTATTTTAGATTATTAATACTCATGTTAAAATGACTATAGTCAGCTTCGCACGAGTATATAGGGTCGATCAATTTGCAACAAAAAAAAAACAAAAACAAAAATGGGTGGGTAACTTAATCAAATCCCAAATAATATTCTCGACAGTCGGCCCAACGAAAACGAAACAGATCTGAATACTTTCGGGAGAATGTGAGAAAAAATGCTGCCTATACCTACCTTCTCTTCCTATCCTCCTTAGGCGTGCGCTCGAATGCACGCGATGTCCTTCGAATATCTTAGGGATTTCCTTTCGTGCGCACCAAGTGATAAAAAATATAGTTAGATTTTTGATTCCTTGGTGACAACTTCTCATCCATTCAACGAGTGATCACGTCTTCAATTATGCAACCAGACGACACGAAAATCATTTAAATAACATATTTTAATAAGAAGAAGCTCTATTTGATTCCTTCTTCAAAATTACCCTGATTACCAAATTATATTCGTCAGCGAAGTGGGGGAATAACATGTGGTAGTCTGAAGTGCATGTGACCTCCAATAGTTCAAAATCGACGTTTTTGAGCGTTTTCTTTATGAAAAGTTCTCCTGGGAGTTTTTTCTAGGTTAAATCAGTACATCCGAAGAACGATAGGATGAATTAGTTTGTTAATATTTTGTGAGGAAGGAACATACACCTCCATGAGTAGATCATTCGAGAACGTAGTCATTGAGTTTTTTATCAATCAGCTTGACTTGTTTCCGAATGATCAACTCATAGAGGTGTTTGTTCCTTCCTCACAAAATATCAACAAAGTAGTATGGAGTAGTTTAGACTAGAACACACTAGTTCATCCTATCGCTCCTCGGATAGCCTTTATTTGTTTGTCCGGTAACATATTCAACTCGTTTCGATTTCGTTGAGCCCCACTGTATGATGAATAAAGTTGATTCTATTCAGAACAGATCTTCTTCTACGAGGCTGCCACCAACAAAAAGTTGATGCACCACTCCTTCCTTCTTGTCGGTAGACGTTGCTTTGATCATTGCTGACGATGTGCCCAAAGTGAATCTCATCTCGGTCCCGTTACTAACAAAAACACTTTCGGCATCATTGATCTGCCCGTTAACGTATATATTCAAGGTTTGTTTATCTGGAAAAAAGAAATAATTGTATGTAAGAAATGGAGGTATAATTTTGATGTCGATTATATATTATTATATAACTGTTGTCTCAGTCACTGGTCAACCGGTAATAAACGAAGGAGGCACCTATGAACTTTACTGGCACTCTAACAGCATAATATCGTCTTACGGTAAGACGATGCTAATATGTTGATTCCTATTAAAAGTTTTGGATATCAAAATTTACTTGGCGATGTTTATCATGCTATGGTGAATTCAGTAGTAAGTGTTCAATGTTCTTTCTTAGGGGTAATGGTACGAATATTGATCGGGCTTTTATTGGTCAAAAACGCATAATTCGAGTAATGTTGGTCTAAGCTAAGTCGTACCTACTTACACTTTCACACGAACCCAAGTTCGAAATAAAATAGCTGTTTTCATACCTACCCTTCAAGGATCATACCTATAAGAAATTTTTGATTTACCTACAGCATTAACAATGTTTAAAGAAAGTGAAATCGTATTTGCTAGAGCGAAGTGTCTATTCTGTGAAGAAATTCCTCGGAACTTCAAATCTGAAGTACTTAATTGTATTTCAATATGTACAGGGTGGGCAAAATTGGGCGTTTTCACCGTCTATCTCAATAACTAGAGGAGTTATCGAAAAACCGATATACATGTTCCGGGTTCTATTTTGGAAAAACCTCGAATGGCACAATCAAAACTTCGATATCTTCATTCGTTTTAGAGATACAGGGGGAAATTGAAAATTTGCCGATTTCGATTCTATTTTCTGACTACTTTACGGTGAGAGGTATCAAAAAATTTAGAACGTATATTTATACAGTATGATGCGTGGAATCCATTGGCATCATCAGAAATTTTATACAGGGTGACGTTGAAAAGATACGGCAGCCAATTATGTTTTTTCTAATGGAACACCCCGTATATTTTGGCACAGTTGAATAGTCCCAGGCGTTCTCATTACAAATATATATATAACCCTACCTTTTCCTTCCACAATTTCAGATATATTCGCGAAAATATATTCAGTGTGTCACATTTCTTATGGTTACACCCCCGTATCTTCTGTAAAAATAATTGAGGTAGGATTTAAAAATTCGCAACTGTCAGAAAGATACAAATGATACACTCATGGAGTCATGGACCAAGTGGGATCATCTCCAATGATAACACTGCTCGCCAGCAGCTATGGAATCATCGATATTTCTGGATAATGCTATCAACAGGCAGAATCGAGGTTGAAAATGACACTCTGTATATATTCACCAAATGTGGAAAATAAATATCATAGGGAATATAATTTCCAGATAAATGGATATTTGGTGAGAAATTTAATGGGAAATTATTCGATTTGATATCATTGTTATCAAGACATTTGAGATACAGATATAAGACCAATAATTTACTCAATTAGGAAATCAGTAGGTTGCGTTGAAAAATATAGCCTTATAGAAGATGTCCAAATTCCAGATACAGAACAATTTTTTTCATGGAACACCCCGTATATTTTGGCAGAGAGGAAAGTTCCCGTTTCAGTTTCAAATAAATATCTTATTCATTATCTCTTTGAACGCAAAAATATTAAGGCATACTAGAAATAATGGGTAAAGTATCATATTCAGGCATTCTGCCACAAAATATTATGATTGTTAATATTTCCATCAATTATTCTTACAGAAGATACGGGGGTGTAACCATAAGAAATGTGACACACTGAATATATTTTTGCGAATATATCTGAAATTGTGGAAGGAAAAGGTAGGGTTATATATATATTCGTAATGAGAACGCCTGGGACTATTCAACTGTGTCAAAATATACGGGGTGTTCCATTAGAAAAAACATAATTGGCTGCCGTATTTTCTCAACGTCACCCTGTATAAAATTTCTGATGATGCCAATGGATTCCAAGCATCATACTGTATAAATATACGTTCGAAATTTTTTGATACCTCTCACCGTAAAGTAGTCAGAAAATAAAATCGAAATCGGCAAATTTTCAATTTCCCCCTATATCTCTAAAACGAATGAAGATATCGAAGTTTTGATTGTGCCATTCGAGGTTTCTCCAAAATCGAACCCGGAACATGTATATCGGTTTTTCGATAACTCCTCTATTTATTGAGATAGACGGTGAAAACGCCCAATTTTGCCCACCCTGTACCTATCTACAATTAGTTATAAACTTTCAATGTCATACCTTTTTTAAATATCTTAATGTTTTTAGTTTTGTCTCATTTTCTTGGTGCTTCCCATTTCAATTGAAGGACCAAATTGCACATAAGATAAATGTCCCAAATATAAAAAATTAGGTTTTTCACCAACCGTCACCAAAGTCGTCCATTTTAATTCCAAAATAAGCTCTCAAGTTGACGTTTCTATTTATGACACAATCATAGGTATGTTGCTAGGCAACACTTTTTTCAGTTCAACTTTAGCTCCTAGGAACTAAATAGGATATACTAGGTCATCACGAATCAAAAACATTGTTACGGTTGGTTATTTGGGTTGGGACGCTTCCGATTTTGGCAGAGTCGACATTTCATACCCATATAGTTAAGTATTTTTGTTTTGATCAGGATATCCTTTAAGATTCACATTCTTGCTCGATTTTTTTTTTGAATAATCACGGCAAGCAATACCTTCTTGCCTCACACAACGATATTTTTTACCTTCATTTGATCACCGGGCCAAACATAGTGGACTATGGAGCTCACTAACCTAACATTTTCCTCTTCTTCTCCCTATCTGGCACTGGCGCGGTATTTGCTATTAGGACTGGCACCTGAACCAAATGAATTCATCGATATGACGTCAATAGAATACACAAATAGGGCTCTCTGTGGTTGTATTTATATTGTAACTACAATTCAAACATCCAGGTACAATATTGTCACCACACGGATTATTTGCTGCATTGCATACATATGGCACGGCATCCACGTTTCGGGTAGTATGGAATTAGTGCCTGTAGTATCTGATGACATGATGCATGTCAACACATACAAGTACGGTTGTAGAAAAATTAGCATGTTTCATTCGGATCAAAAGTGACTTTGTTTGACTCGCAAATTTTACTTTGGCTAGACTTCGCTAGACGCTCTGCCTCACAAATACAAAATTCGCACTTCGAAAACAGTGTCACTTTTGACCATAACGAGGCAATCTACTATATTTGCCGCTAGGAATCAACTTGAAAGTATTTCCTGCATACTTTTATTTAAGCCTGTGCAAAACCGATAGTCCATAATCCCTCTGTAGAAAGCATTCCTCCAAGTTATAAAATGGCTTATCTAGTACACAAGTAATGCTTTTTACTATCCATTTTTAATAGTTATTCATGTATTAAGTGAATTATGAGGGCCTTAATTACCGATGGCAAAGTTTGCGTCCCGAGGGCCTCTGGCCCGAGGGACAGCAATTGCCAGAGGTTATTAAGGCTCTATAATTCCCGTGATACATAGATAATTTTATTTCTGTCTGATTTCATTCATTAGATACCTTCCCGATTGGAAGTTAGACATGTTTTTCCGTATAGTTTCAATGTCATCAGAACGTCAGATGATGATCTTGACTACCGCGAATAGGAGATTCCTTATTGCTACGTTATTGCGTGGTTGTTGCTATGCATTTCTTATTCAATTTTAGCTAGAGGGAATTATAGCATCTATAACATCCCAAGGGAGTTATGTCCCTCATTATAGATATCGTAACTATGACGATATAAGCTTATAATGTCACTGTCAGAAATAAAACATATTATTGCTTCTATATCGACTGGAAAATTATTAAAAAATCTTGTTTCAATGTTAGTAATTGGGTCCATAAAATATAGATTAACTCCGTCACTTTGTTTTGTGTTAAATTAAAATCCAAAAACGATGAGATATTTACACAAAATATTTGAAAACGTGACAAATTCTGTGAAAATAGTAGCTCGTTCAAGTGAGTATTTGATTAATCCAAGATTGTTCTGAGACCTATCCTGATACGACTCTAATAAGAACAGGGCCTGTGTTCGAATTTCGAAATGCCAAAATCCGTGATATGAAGCTGGATGACAAGGTCAGTGAAGGTAAAGATACCAACAAAAAAACGTACCAAGATAATTACTGAGTTTGAACAGAAGTAATAGATTAAAGACAAGTATGTATGAGGACATGATGATATCTTGCCATTGTCCCAACATTGTCGATCTGAATGAAAACCTAGTAGGCGACCTAGTACGCGAGGAGGTACGATAGCTTCATATTTTTATGTAGAGGAACAAGAAGAAGAAATAAATATAGGTACTTTCAGGAATTTTTGAGAATGGACCTCATCTGTGATGAATTCCTGAAGATGAAATCCCAGAAAATCACTTGGTGAACTGATGAATATTGAAACTCATCATAGAAAGGGTCAGTTTACTGATGATCAAATCCATTCATATACTAATTTGTACCCACCAAATACTACTCGGTATCGAATTCCTTCTGCTATGAGAGCCCACGTTCTCATAATTTGAGATTGCTTCTCGGTAAATTTCTGCAGAGGTTTTCCATCAACGTATAAGCTATACGAGAAAGCGAAGTGTGGCATGGGATCAACCCTTAGCACACACCTCGCTTGCTGCTTGCCCAGAAGAAAAACTTCCTCTCCAACTAGCATGAACATCCATTCCCTTCTAAATATTTCCTAAGGAAATTTAATTTTGATCAAATCTAATGTTTTTCACAAATTGCCATACTCACATTACCATCAACTCTAAGAACCCTTTTTCCAGTGGTACCACCATGTTCAAACTCGATTGTATGAACACCATCCAAAAGAGGGACACTCCAGTAGGCTACCAAATCAGTTCTGTCCTGCGATCCAGATTTCTGGACAGATGAACTCTTTGCCATGACGATGTATCCTCTCGATACTATTCATGAACAGGAAATCTGGAAACATCATGTGATCTTATCACTTTATACTTCTATAATTTTCTTCAAATATAGGAACCGAAAGTGCAACATAATATAAGAAGAATGAAATATCACCTTCTGTCGTCCCGATATCGTTCCATCTCCATGTATCAATCCTGATTTCAAAACTAAACACAACATGCACTGGCATACTGATATTGTTTGTATTGAAAGAGTTCATATCGATATCGTCAGATGATATAGCTATGCCTCGTATAGGTGGTCATCAATTCAAGCTCTCTGTGAATCGTTTTAATGACAAAATCGATAGCAGGAACTTTGCCAGCACTAGAACTAGATGTCTAACCTTGAACTATGTAGATCAGACTTCCATGAAAAATATCGATTTATGAGTTTTGAATGCAAGTTTACATTCCTTGTATCGAAAGTTTCATTGAATGCATGTATTTGTTATTTTAATTCATAATAAAACGAAGATCATACCATCTGGAATAATTTTATTCCTCAATAATACAACTAGTGTTAAAGTACGAAACATAGTAAATATAAAACTTGTATCTCTGTACTCATACGATATTGTATGATTATTCGAAGAACCTTTACATGAATATACAAGGGTTATTCAAGAGAGCCATGCCAATTTTTTCGCTGGCAATAATGTTCCTACACAGGTACCAAAACCTATACTATAGCTGTCTCCTTCACATACTGCTTTCATTATGACCGTATCTCCGTCTTGTAAGAATTTCCTTTGTGATCCATCTAATAAGTTCAGAGGTTTAGTGCCCTTCCAAGATAACTCCAGCAGACTCCCGAAAGAATCCGAACTCTAGAAATAAAAAATAATATCAGTGCCATTCAGGATATGTAGGTAGTATAATGGAGGTTCAAATGTTGGTTTAGGTTAGTTGGAAAGTATTGAGATTGTTCACCTCTCCACTTATCGTTCCACTGGCCATGAGATCTCCTGGGTTCAAATTACAACCAGATATGGTATGATGAGCTAGTTGCTGCTTGGCAGTCCAGTACAGATATTTGTAGTTTGATCTGCATACGGTTGTAGATACATTACTTCCTTGTTCTTCATGAAATTGAATAAAGAAAAAGTTATTACTTGGTCAGGTTTTTAGCTTTCTAGCATCTACTCACGTGCTATGTCCACTTGGAGATTGATGTCAAAATTGAAGTTATCAGAGTGTCGCAGATATGGAAGTGGTTGTGGATCCTGAGGGAAGTTATCTGTGATGAATGGTTCCAACGCTAAGGTGGTTACCACCCATGGTGATATTGTGGTTCCTAAATTCTTGGCTAGGAATGGACCAAGAGGGACGTATTCCCATTTCTGGATGTCTCTAGCTGAAAATATATATTGGGATGATATACGATCTTGAGTCATTTGGGTGGAAATAGTAATAAAATGAATCAAGGTAGATAGTTCTGATTTAAATATGGGGGACTAACTGATATTATAGTTGAAAGGTATTCCCAGTTCCAGGCCATCGGGTTCAATAGCAGACAAACGTTTCAACTTAGGGTTATAATTTCAACCTGAGAGTGAAATGCATCTACCTATCTCATATTATCACGTGAACAAGATAGATACAGCTCATGATGGAACGTGCAAAATAAGCACTTTTGCTAGCACCCTGTATAAATTGACATTGTTATTGTCCTTACCACTCCAGTCGTTTACGATGACAAATCCGAAAATATGTTCATGGGCCTTCTCAACATCCACAGGTTCGCCCAGTTGTGTTGCTCCTCCAACAAAGAACCCCATTTCTAATTCAAAGTCCATCAGCCTACTTGGTCCAAACACTGGGGGAGCTCCTATAAAATTGAATATGAATATGAATTGATTGAATATGGATGGTTAGGTACCTTCAACTGGTAGGGTTTGTCCATGTGGTCTGTGGATGGGGGTACCTGATATTACCACAGAGCTAGCCCTTCCATGGTAACCAACAGGCAGAGATTTCCTAAAATGAAGAAGGATAATTTGATAGATTACCTTGATGATTGAAAATTGAGTACATAATGATATCTACTCACCAGTTTGGCATTAAGGCATTTTCTTTGCTTCTAAACATAATTCCAACATTGGTTGCATGGTGTAAGGAAGAATAAAAGTCTGTGTAATCTCCGATGTGTGCTGGAAGATGCATGGTTGCATCTGATTGTGAAGTGAAGGCTCTGAAAGTTTGGAATATAGTAAAAGTATTATTCACTGATTAGGATAGCGTAGTCTTATATACCTGCTCATCAGCTCTGGATTTTTTTGAATCGTAGGATTGCCATCAGATAGCAATGTCTGAATAGTTTCTCTTGCTTCTTTCCAAGCTTTTGGAGATAGAGCCATAAAATCGTTCAACGTTTCCTGAAATTTCATTTTACTTCATATCCGAAAGCAGCGCAGAAAAGACATGGTGAAAAATTGTTCTGAACATTTTTTTCATATTTCATATCCCCTCAGCGCTATGTTGGAAAAAATGCTCTTTCGTGATAATATACGTACTTTTTTGAAAACATGCTGATGGCTCTGTAGTTCTGGGCCAGTGAACAAATGGGAAATTTCTCTCAAATCTAGTATTGAATCAGCAATGGCAACACCTATTCTGTGAGTTGGCTGTGGAAAAATATTATTCGTTGAAAAATATTAGCGTTTCAAACCGGGTGAAAACGAGAATTTGGTCAGCACTGTAAATTTTGATTGGTACAGTCGCATTAAAAAAAAGCGCACAAGTATATTACAGAGAGAAATTAACGTCATCCCATTCGGCATAAAACGGGCTATCGGGAATGATTGCTTACCAAAATGTTGACAGGAAAGTTGTCATAGGTTCTCAAAAACACAAAGCATTGGTTGAGCCAGTTTTACACAACTAGAACTAGGATCCCGAAATCCTCTCTTTTTAATACTTGTACGCTTTTTTATTGAATACGACTGTACAAGGCACATTGCGCATTTGGTGAAGTCATTAGATTTTCCTGGGTTTTGTGAGTATACAGGGCGATCCTTGAGTAATTGTATATACAATGTCATTTATAAAGTTGGCATCATATGGGAAAAACTTTCATAAATAATTTATTTTGAAATTCGACAAGGGTGTTAAGTTTTGCTTCAAAAGGGATGGAAAATGACCGAGTCACGTGACTTTCGCTACACGTCAAAAGTTACATGTTTTCAAATTAATCAATGAAAATTGACTTATTTTTTCGAATTTCAAGAAAGTATACAAAAAACTAAGTTGTTTCTATTCCAATTTTACACATTTGTCCCGAATTCGAACGTTCTATTGCACTTTTATTTCTTCCAATTGTAATCTGTCCTAAGCTTTGGTTAGGTACGTGAAGAAATTTGATGATATCTTGATAGATGACTGGCATCATTCTATTACTGAAAGAATCAATTTAAATAAATTTTCGCTTCTGGATGATAGACGATACATCAAATCTGTCTCAAACTATGAAGCTACTAAAATGAAATAGTTTTGAATAGTATTGTCCTTGCTTTTGTAAAATAATAGAGACATTTCGTAGGAACTGAAAAAATGTCCAAAACTAAAAGGTTGTGAGAGGAAGTTTAAATTCGAAACATGTGTAGAATTGAAATAGAAACAACGTTTCTCAGTAAACTTTTTTGCAATTAAAACAAATGAGCCGATTTTCAGCAATTAATTTGATAAACTGCAATTTTTGACAAGTAGGGAATGTCACGTGTCACAGACCGATCGAGTAGTCCATTCTTCATATTTTCTAAAGTAGAACTTACCGCCCAAGCCGAATTTCGAAATACAAATTTTTACCATATTATTATGATGCTCACTTGTATATGAATGGCACTGTATGAGTGTGGTACAAAAGTGGCTTATATATGCGATGCCCTCTAGAAAATACATTGCATGCAGTAGATGGCAAATTCAGATGTCTCATGCCAAAAAATCCTTAGTTTCGAGAATAGAAGTATGCCTAGAAGGACACCCTTTCACCCTTGGGAATGGTCACGGGCTCCCAGTTTCAGGTTTACATTTCGGTTGTGCTGGACCATCAGTCAATGGTCAGTTATTTTTCGTGGTTATTCTCATTTCCTAGTGGTTATAGGTGCGATTAGTCAAAAATATCTTCACAACTACAAGCATCCGGGTGCTCCAAAAGTCATTTGCTACCCATGGTCTGCCTGACGGGCTAGTCTCAGATAACGAAACAACTTTCACTTCAATATATTTCCAAGAGTTTCTCAGCAACAACGGAATCCAGCAAGCACTAGTGGCAGCGTATCATTCCAGTAGTAAATGGCAAGGCGGAACGTATGGTACAGAAAGTTTAAAGAGGTCTCATTGAAGAAAATGAGCAGTTGGATAGGCTTCATCCAGATTTTGCTAGAGAAATTACCGTCAGGAAGCAAATCAGAAACGAACGGGGAAGAAGAGTTGACAACCTAAATATAGACTTGGCAACAATTCTCGAATGGGGATTCAATAACTTGGTATAGATTTCAATGCAAACAAAATACAAGCATGCCTTTTCTCTAGAAAAGGCGATCTCACTGTGCCCAACATAAGATTGTCCGGAGTAACCATACCTTTGAAGACATCCATTTCGATGCTTGGTATGGTATTACTATTGGCAATAACCTTTCTTGGGAAAATCACGTGAGATCAATAATTGCTAAAAGTGCACCCCAAAAACTTAGTTTTCTGTTACGGGCCAGGAGCTATTCCACTTCCAATCATCTGCTTATGATCTACAAGGCACTGATCCGACCTGTCCTGTGGAATACTGCTCCCATATTTGGAGTGCAGCATCCAAACATACCCTGAAACTGTTGGGTTCCGTCCAAAAAAGGGAAATTCGTCCCGCTCACAAACTCACTCACTTCTCTGGAACACCGTAGGAAAGTTGGCGATCTGGCTCTATTTCATAGATATTTTCAAAGACGAAGCTCTTCGGAAATATCAACAATTGTTCCTCCCTTGGCAGTCCCCGCGAGATTAACCCGCCGTCGAGTTGAGGCTTCGCACCCCTTCGTGGTCACTTTGGAGACCTGCAGAACATCTCTTTCCAAAGACTCGTTCATCCAACGAACATCAGCGAGGCTCTGGAGCACATTGCCAAGGGAGGTGTTCCCCGAGGTATATAACCTTCAGAAATTCAAGTAGAACACCAATTCCTACCTTATTTCCCTTGGTTCTCACGATGTCCTCTGAAAACTACAGGATATCCCTTTCCGTGGGAACCAGAACATAAAAATAGGAGCTACAAAATCAGAAGACTGCGTAATTCCAAAGGTATACCATGAAGATGCCCCATGTGAACGTGGCGGCCAGAGACAGTATGCAGAGTTCTAGACCTCTGGACCTCCCCAAGACATTGATATAACCATACAAAAATGCTGGATTTTCCCAAGATACGGATATGACCAGAAACAACATATAGAGTCCTAGACCTGGATCTCTTCAATATACTGCACCAGAGTGTTTCCCAAAGCTTCATCACCTCCGTCTGTTGTTTTGGGAGTCAGCAGGCCTGATGTATACGCAGCCATGGTCCTCCCAGGAACCTTCAGGACCAGGAGTATCATATTGAGATTACTGAGTGATCAAATCCTGGGGGAAGGGTGGCGTGTCTTGAGACGATAGGCTAATTGCGTATAGTGTACCTACTTCATCTATACATTGATATATTTAGTTGGTTACCAAAAGCTAGAATTGATTACTACCTATATATATACAGAGACTAGTTCTTTGTTTTGGTAACTTACGAAAAAATAATAAATGGTCCAATTTTGGAAAAACTAATTCGAAATAGTATCTGACCAGATCTGGCCCAGCGAAAGCGTAATATACCTATATAAACCAACGATAGTGTTCTTAGCTCCCTCTTTATGTAAGAAGGGTAAGTCAAATGATTCGATCACGACGAAACCTGTTATGCACAGAACATGGTGGACTGTGTTGTATCAAACAAAGTAGAGAGGTCTCTCATCAATCTCATCTCAATATAAACACCGTATGATTCGACTGAAAATAATTGTTCTACAGTGTTGCTGATTTTGGTAATTTTTCTCTAGATACCTGATTATTCAATGAATAGCAACATAGATGAACCAAGTGTGTTTCATCTATGATAGCAATAATGAATACTAACTCACATGATTTAAATTAGATTATGAGACTTATCTCGGTTATCTGCCAGATGAAAATTGAAAATCGAATTGTTTGCATGCATGCAAATTGAAGAGCAGTTTCTATGGCGTGTATACCTAGCTGATTGTCCTGAATCTGACAGAATTTTTTGTGGAAAGTATCGACAGAATCAACTCTGATGACAACAAGGAAAAATTAAATTTCCCAACTGACTGATTTTTTTTCATAACAAGAAATCTTGGAAAGTCTCAATGGATATATGAGTAGCTAGTAAATTTCAGCGAGTTACGACGCAATATTTTTGTCTGCAGTCTTTTCCATTATACCCAAACCAATTCGTTCTGTTTTTCTTTTCCACCCTTTGGTCCATTTGGCTATATTCTAGGTATGTTCTCCAGGTAGGTTCATATGGAATATATTATTATTATATATATATAGATACTGAAAATTGTTCATTCATACTATGAACATAATCATGTATCCTAACTTGCTTCGTTTTTGAGATACAGGGAGTCACATTTTTCAGAAAAAAAAATCGATTTTTCATTGATTATTCAAAATCGTTTTCGCTGATTCTGATAAAAATGCTTATTTTTAATAGCGATGAGTTTCAATGTGAATTCCAATGTACCGCTATTTTCTGCAATTATTACTTTTTTCCTACTTGTTTGGGGTGTTGAGACTAAATATGCTTTCCTACTTTCATAAAGGGCGAATAGCTAATTAGCTACTGCCGTATCAGCGCCCGGGCTTCAGGGGCCCCGGTTTGTGTAATCAAAAGTTCGTAAATTGTTATCGACAATGTTACTCAAACTATTAAGCCGTATTGGATAAGACTTTTCCAAATTTTGTATGAAGCCGTCTCAGGCATTGATGTTGCCGACTATATGCCCAAAAGTTGACATATACTGGATGTCTCAAATTTCCAGCCACGCGCTACAACAGATATCAGTAATATTATTAGTATAACAGAATCGTACTCTGCGACTCTGTGACCTGAGTATTTCGTTCGAAGTGTTACAACCAGAGTAAGTGAGGAGAATGTAGTTATTCTTTATGAACAATTAATTGCTTCGAAAGCATGCTCAAAATATGAAATTCGTAAATTAATTTCAATAAGGAAATCACGGAATTATTACTGATATAATTCAATAGCCTTGAATCAAGTTTTCCGGAGGTGAGCATGCTTCCTATTTTTGACACTTCTGGTAACAACTGCAAGAGCTGAAAGAAGCTTTTCGAAATTAAAACAGATGAAAAATATAGAATGACTTCCATGGAACAAGAATGGAATCAGACTTTATCAGCTATGAATGATTTAATGAGTTTGCCGTCAAGGCTTCTTATTGGCTCCTACTGCTCCTAGAAGAATTAATTGTAAGTGATTACTTATAATCAATGTTTATTGATTTTTAAGTGTTTTTGTCGATTATATCTCTACCCTTAATTTGGGCTTTGCCGCAATAAATCTAAAGAAGTATAAAGTATAGCGAAAATGTCATAATTTAAATGCAGGATCTGACAACATTGTTTGATTATGAAAGCGTTAAACTGTGACCATACCTCTATTTATCAACAAGTTTGCCTTTCACAAGTGATTTTATTATTTTCTCTGTTTGTTTCTTCGTAACAATATGGTGTACAAATACAATTTTCATTTATAATGTACTCACATCTTTATCTGTTGAAAATACTCCGTATGGAAGATTTTGTATTGGATAATCACAGTGTTTGGAATATTTCAGGAAACACTTCATATTATTGAATTTTATCTAGACTTTCTGCTGGCACACTGTTAATCTAACTTGTAACTGCTAGGTTGATATCAAGGTCTTGTTTATATTATCTTGTTCGCGCATTCATAAAGCGGCGGTATAGGTATTATAGGCATTAATATTTGAATAAATAAATATTCAATATGTGGATAGGTAGGTATATAAAAACGGGTTTTCTAAAAATTTTTCAATAAGTAATCACTTTGAAGATCTTGTGACGAATGAATAATCAGAATCAGACCTTTGTAGAGGGGCATCATACCCAGGGTGGCCATTTGAAAACGTTAAATAGAGCTAATTTTGGGCACCCCAGGGCATTTACGAAAAAACGCTCGGACTTGTGAATTTTTGATATCAAGTTGCCAGTTTCATCCCATGAAAGAAGACCCTGTATAGTGGAAATGAGACTCATCCGCATGTTTTGAAAAAAAAAGGTTTCTTTTGTTATGTTCTGGTTCCCACGAAAAGGTATATCCTGTAATGTTCAGAGAACATCGTGAGAACCAAGGGAAATAAGGTGGAATGCCGGATGTAATTTTTGAGAAATTTGATTCAGTCCCGTTTATTACCACAGATTGTGTTCTGCCTTCTAAGTAGGAACTCAACCAGTTTGCCGTGTACACCGAAGTTGTTCAGTTTAACTAGCAAAGTGGGATGATGGACTTTATCAAAAGCTTTAGAATAATCAGTGTACACGGCATGAGGCATGAATGTGATATCCCAGAGAAGTTTGTGTTTGCTGGGTTCAGCCGTTTTGTCTCACAGAACCGAAAGTCCGTTTGTTGGTTCTGATTCATCCTTCCTAGGTGGTGTCTTATTGACGACAGTGTCCCGTAAGCAGTCCTCTCAGAATTCGCAGGTTACCCCTGCTCCATTCTAGGATCTGCCTGGTTTTTTCTTTCGTTAGTTTAGGCAGGAATGCCTTCGAATGGGTTAATCCTGGTAATTCAGACCAGTGCGTGAATCTTTCCCCCTCCGCCCAGTCCGAGTTAGATTGTTATTTTGGCTGCACATGCGGAGACCAAAGATGACCAAAGTATGGTTCTGGTCCTATGAACACAGATTCGGTTCCCTGTTTTGCGAGGATGTCGGCTTTCTCGTTTCCCTCCACCCCCTGATATCTAGGCACCCACAGCATTCTAGGGATTCAATACAGCTCCATACAAGCTTGGAATTTATCTTGCTGGAGCTCTTTGCTTCAAGTGCAGCCTGACTGCCTGATACAATACTGATGTGTTTATTTACTGGAGGTCTATTCGTCAACTCTCTAACACAAAATTCAATTGCGAGGACCTCCGCTTGAAAGATTGTAGCATACTTACCGAGATTGAGTGAGATTTCCGTCTTCGGGTTTTTTACTGAAAACACCGGCCTCAACTCCAAGAGGGGTTTTTGAACCATCTGTGGACATTACGTGTTCGGTCTCTGGGAATTGTATTGATCCTTTTACCCACTCGTCTCTTTTCGGAAAGAGGACTTTGTGAAAGACTTTTGGTAGAACTGCGATCATGCAATGAGTTTTTTTCGAAAATTTGTTTTGGTACTTACGTATTTTTGTCTGAATAAACACGAATTTGATAATGAAAATATGAACAAACCACTATTTATCGAGATATTTCGAGAGAAAGTTCGAAATTTTGCCTTCTTTTTCCACTTGTGTTGGATGCATTTACAGCTACTTGCTCTTCCTATTTTGTCATTGGACACTTCATATACTCATGATGTACTTCAATGACACATTTTTATATAGGAAATTCAACAGGAAATATGATTTTTATGGCAAGTTTTTCATATTTAGTGAACAAGCATACCAGATGACGGCCATTTAATAAATAGTCAATCCAAATTCCATGTACGAGATGTCAAATGTCGACAGATTGCTTTTGAATGATATTATACACAATCCATTATTTCAAATGATAACTCTTTCTTCTTTTCACTAAATATGAATAAATCACAAGAAAATCATATTTCTAGTTGACTCTTATATATATATAAATTGTCCAATGATGAAAAAAGAAGGGCAAATTGTTCTGAATGCCATCCAGAAGACCAGGCGGAAAAGAATGTGAAATTTGTAACTTTATCACAATGATTAATGGTTTGTTCACATTTTCATTATCACATTCGTGTTTTTGAACAAAAATATATAGGTACCAAAGGAAATTTTCGAAAAAAAAAAAAAACATTGCATGATAAATGCAGTTAGTTTTACCAGACTTTTTTACGTGTGTCTGAGTGGCCTACATTTCGGGTACCATTCCTAGAGTTTGGTGATTTTTTATTCCACGCAGTATACTGAAAGGACACCCTGTATACAATCAAATGTAGACCCTTTACAGGAACGGATTATAGAAAATCAAATATATAGGTTTACGCATAAAAGCTTCACAAGATATGAAAACGGCTTGTATGGTTTTTCCAACATGTAATTCTTTTCAATATTCACATTTATTAAAAGAACACAATAAAGTTATACTGTTCGATGCTTTTGTGATAGAAGTCCAATAATTCATCTCTTTATGGTATCATCACGAATTTGAATTTTTCCTAATATGCGCATAGGTATATAACGATAGAAAATCTTCAAATTCACTTCTCCAGAATTATTAGGATGGAATGAAATATTTTTTCAATATTATTGAGATCAATTATGGGCCTCATAGTTAATAAAATGGAAGACATTCGATATTTTGTTGTATATAATGATAAATAAGTAATATAATACCTATAAAATAATATAGTTAACAGAGATGGCAGATATCATCTGAGAACTCAACATTTTATATCCATCTAATTTACTCAAAAATATATAGGTACTTATCTAATATCAGTAATATCAACATCGACTATATCTATATAGTCGATGAATAATAATACAATGAGCTTGTAAAGTTGTGAATCAATACGATGATCCCTAATCCAAAATGGTTTTCAAAAACTCAAACACAACATGCTCGTTTGAGTGAAAATCAAATCGACAGTATTTTATATAGTCTCATGTTTGGATACAGAAATAACCATTCGATAAGGGTATATTTTTAATTTATTCCCGTTGAAATACAGTGTGTCCCGTTTTTCATGAATACACCCTATATAATATTTCATCAGTTATTAATGATGCGATTCAAGGGTGTAGTCGTGAAAAGTGGGATTTTAAAATTGGTTTCGAAGGGGGATGCTGATTCTGAATCTGATAAAATAAGTTATTCAAAATAAGCCCTATAATATCCTTTTACCGAATGAAGGTCTTTTTAAACATCCCACGCCAATGGTGAATGGAATTGTTCATTCTGCCACACACTGCATATTGTTCTAACATACAATCAGCACCAAAATTTTAGGAGAATCGCATCATTATAATAACTGAGATATCAGGACGTATTCATGAGAAGTAGGACACACTGTATATGAGTATATGTCACACTCATTCCGCATGCTTATTATGCTATATATCATCAGAATAGCTATACTCATTGTATAATCCTTATCCCACTACTACCTATTTATTTTCATATTTTTACCCAAAATGCGGACTACCTTCTTCATGACAGAATTACACTAATGTGACGACAGTTATTATTCATTGTTTTATAAGGAATCGGCTGATATGCTCTTTTTTAATATAATACCTACCTACCTACCTACCTACCTACCTACCTATACCTGGTAGCGATTTTACTAAATATACTGCACGCTAGCACAAACCACGCCCACCATAATACGTCATATCTCCAAACATTACCGATATACTCGGAGTCAGCACATCGCACTAAATATACTGTGCTCCAACGCAAGAATACACTTTTCATGATTTTGACACGAATTCGAATGGAACTCTCTCGTTGTCAATCTCTTGTACGCAGTAAATTCATATACCCAAATGATCTACTGGTTGGCGCTGTCGACTCTCAGTCTGAAGGTGCATGGTTCGAATCGCTGTGAACTTGAACTTTTTTTTCCAACTTTTTTTTTTCACCAATGTTTTTTTACTTCATTCTGGTTTTCCTTTTTCATAAAATATTTGAAGTCAAATAGGTTAGTGCGTTTAAGATAAACAGTCTCATTTTATTCAATTTTGTTGAAGAACTCAACTTTTGAAATATATTATTAATCAATGTGTTTCTACACTCCATTCGGTTTTCCTTCCTCAAAAATATTGCAATCAGGAATAGGTTAGTTCGTTGAGGATAAATAGTCTCTGAGTTTTGCTTAAGTACTTCGAAGATGGTGGGCGTGGTTTGTGCTAGCGTACAGTATATTTAGTAAAATCGCTACCTGGTATGCATCATTTCAAGATTCGTCTTTTCCATATCCTACGAAAATAAATATGTCTCAAAAAATGACAGAAGCATATTTGGGCATACACTTGAAGTGGAACACGGAGTACATAATTATGATTCAATCAATATTATTTTTGGGAAATCACCGTATTGAATTAACCCATAACCTTTACATGCAAACTGTTAACATATGATTTGTTTTCGGCAGTTAGAAGACGTATTTTGTACATCTGCGATACACACGGTACTCCAAAATTGTCTCTTGTTTATGATAAATACTTTTTTGTACAAACAAACTAATCACTTCTCTGGAAGTGGAGCAAGGAGCAAATTATTGACAGATACCCCCGAAGCCGAAGACTGATACTTCTTAGCTTAGTTTCAAATTTGCTTTGATATTTTGAGGTGGTTAGAGGGAATGCGAAATGCAGATGAACTGATATTTTTATCATCCTTCGAAGTGGTATGATATTCAAAAATGAATTTATGGAAAAAAGTTCATGTTTTCAAATGTGGATATGTTTGTGTATACGTATACGTTGATATACGATATTCATCGATATCAGCCAAACTAGTATTAGGAGAAAATTCTGGATCACCATGTGTAATTATAATTAATTATCAACAGAAATATCAACGTTTCAATGAATATCTGATATAGACTAGAAAAAGTTAACAAATATTTAATGTTCAATTTACACTTTCAATAAATACATACATACATATCTGCGAGAAATAACGTTTTTATAGACATTTTACATTACCTACGTTTAATAAATATACGGAAGCA